AGAATAAAGTTAAATGTTCCAATAAAATCTAAGTAATAACTAACTAGAAACTCCCTAAAGAAGTTTTGAAAAGGGACCTATCGTTGGCACTAAATGGTGGCCATATATTATCTAACCCTAACCCAAAGTCTTGATATTTCGGTGATGTTGGGACGTGCAGCTACAGTTCATTTTCATGTATCGTTTGTGGGGTGCACGCTTCCAATCTAGCCATATAAATAAATAAACATATAACTTTACTAATCTCAGGGTGACGTAGGTGTGAGCAAAACAAAATTATGATATACCACACCTCCCATGGCCAAGACTATCATTTTGATGAAAAGTTTGTGGGGGTGCCGTTTGAATCGCATTTTACGTCTGTGGAATAATATTTCTAAAGATAACGAATTCTCCGATGGAGAACGATGGGCAGGTCCCCATCCTAGGTATTTTAGGTGCCTTGTGTTGACCGATGAGCTTGTTGATGATCTCAACGATGACTGCTAAACACACTAGCTAAACTTTTGATGTATTTTGAGGTACTTGGCTTCAGCAGGCGTCGTTTAATGATTAACACCACTGTCTCGTTAATATTTCGATTGTTTAAAGCAAGGAAAAGAGGGATTCTTTTTGCATTGCTCCACTTGACATACAGATCGTTGTAAATTGATTTATAAAGACCAGGAACCTTTTCTGGTTCAATATCACGACCTATCACTTCAGCCCAGACCATTGATGATAAACGCTCAGTTATTTCATTACAATCGTTAGCTGAAAGGACGTTCTCTGCGTTGTGCTTTATCAGCGACATTAACTTAATGATGAGTTTATCAATAGCTGCTTTTTCTTCGTTTTCTTCGTATGATATCTGCTGGATGCAGTCATTCTCTGAAACACTTCTGTCGCCTGCATCCACTGATGGAGCAGGCGGTGTCTCTTTTCCTCTCACTGATGACATTTTGATACTTTTGACATACGAGAAGACCTTTGAGACTAAATTAGTTTTGTGAAGCTTCTTGTGTCGTTCTCTGATGGAGAAAACGATGTGATTAACTGTTTGTGATTTTGCGTGATTCATTAACTTAAGCAAGTAATCAGTGCCACAGCAGCTTAACTTACAGACATCCCTGATAACTTTCTTGACAAATTTGGACTCCATTTCTGGTTCAATATCAAATAGTTCTCCTTTAAGTTCATTCCAGACTAGTTCAAACACTGACTTCTGTAAGGTCTGCTGAAATTTTTTTGAATAAATCGTAATGGATTCTCTAAAAGCCCGCTCAATCATTAGATTTACTAGCCGATTCAGTAAGGCTTTCATCTGAAAGTTCTCCGCATGTCTGACCGCTGAGTAATCAACGGTCGAACTGTTTGGAGAAGAGATCAGCTGTTGAGGCTCGTCTTCCACGATGGATTCAGACGATGAACCTTCATGGTCGGATTTACAGTTCTCCTGCCGTGGCCTGTACATCTCTTGAATCGGTTTAGACGTGTAAGAACGGGGATTGTCACGTGTTACTGGTTTAACAGGCTCAATAACAGAATCACTCACTTTTTTTTGCACATATGATGACTGCTTCTGAAACTCATCGTTCCTGGTTGATTTGGCTTTAACCATCTGACGAGAGACAGATTTCTCCTCCGCTAACTGATGGAGAATGTTTTCCAACTGCGGAGGTATCATAAATCCTTTACTAGCTGGCTGAGAAGTAACCAAAGCTTTTGTTGGAACATTATAACAACACTTCTCAGTCAGGCAGTTATTCGAATACTGATTTGTGTCGGTCGAACAACTATCTTCACTTGTCAAAATGTTTGGGTCCTCTGCAGCGTTTTCCCTTTGACAAACATTTCCTACAAAGGTTTTGGGAAGCTTGACAATTTGCTTTCTCATCAAGGAAACCATTGCCTTGAGAAAGCGTCGGTCCTTTGACAACATCAAAGCGAAACATTCTTCACTCGTACAGGACAGTTTCTGACAGATAGTACTGAAAATCCTCTTCTGAAATGTGGGCAAATGATCTGGGTCGATGTAAAAATCAATTTCTTTAACATTTTCCCAGATCAGTAGAAAATAAAAGTCATACGTTGTTTGCTGGATGTCCAAAGAGTACGTCGTATCAGATCTTTCAGCTGCTGCATTAATTAATACTTTTATAAGCGAGCTTATAGACTTTTTCCTTTCAGTTTCTTGGTTTTCCACAGAGGTGGACTCAAAATCTGAAATTAAACTCATTTCTGCTGGAGCTGAAATCCAAGATGTGTTCAGATGAAAGCCTGAGGAACAACTGAGTGTTTGCAGCCTACACTAGCTTAGATGATGAAAAAGCTGACGCCCTGCAAGCTGACGTCACAAAGCGTTAGAATCCGGAAGTCACGTGGTTACGCAACAGACTGACGTTGTGAGATAAATTAAATAACACAAGCACCAGGTGCTTGGCTCCACAGTAAAATCAACACGTCAACGTGTCCGCTGTATTATGAATGGAGAGGTCGTCATGGAAACAGTTGAAGACGGCGTTCAGAGTTTCCGAAAAAAAAAAAAAGAATAAAAATTAGGCAGTTTTCATAAATACAAATAAAATAGTGGGCTTATTATTATAACGATCTCTGAGGAAAAAGTAAACAATTAGAATACTACATTTGATTTTACAATTACTACAAAACACCTTCGTTGGAATTTAATTGTTGAAAAAACCTTAATGTTATATTTTAGTCCGGGTAACACTTGCGTTGTTTTCTTTTTTCTAATTATTTTGAGGTGGATTATTGCCGTTTTCGTTTGTGACCATTACTAACGCGTGGGTTGGTTCCTTCTCCCTTTTAGTAGCTCTCCAGAGACACTCATGGGTAAGGTGAGACATTCGGAGGAGCGATGCGCCCCCTACAGGCGTAGCAGCTGAGATGAGTGCATCTCCAGCAATCTCTGTCATCTCCACTTGTTCTGGACTTGTGAACACACTCGGAATCTTTGGCAAGGCGTCTGTAGATTTATATTGGACCATATCCATGAGACATTTGTATTACATTTTCACAATGTTCTGTTTGGATTTCTAGACTATCAGAGAGATTTGGAAAATTAACTGTTCCTATCTAATCTTATCATATTGCTGACCAAGTTTTACATCCATAAATATAAAGTGTTAAAAATAAGACCTTCTTTTTGTGTCTTGAAAAAAGAACTCGAGCTTTATTTGAAAACGATCTCCACCTCGAACAATAACACAGCCATTAAGACACTAAGTCTCTGCTCGAAATTTCAAATCTTTCTGATGAAACCGAATGGGATTCCTGAAGAAAACAAAAGTCTGTATTCTGTTGTCTACAGTAAAGTAAAATGGCTTTTGTTTCAAATGATTCCTGAGACCTCTCGCATTCAACAAAATGATAGACAAAGACATAAAAATAGAAAAAAAGTATAAAAGACAAGAGTGAGAAAAAAATTTAACTTGTAGAGATATGGACTAACAAAACAATGTGAGATCAGACAACCTGCCGACCTAAATCATTCTAAACAGTCTGGTCTGGGGTAAGTTTAAGTGTAATGAGACAAATATTTTATGATTGAATAGTGAGTACAGCAACTATCTACACTACACTACACATTTAACGCTAACCCAAAGGTAATGTAAGAGTAACTTACCGTATATTAACAATCATCTGTGGTAGAATGTGCATCAAAATACCACTAGATATAAACATAAGTCACTAAGTGTTTTATTAGAAGGTGGAACTGGAACTGAGCCTAATTTACTGAGGGAAAATTTCTGTTCCGTTCACAAAAGCCCGACCACCTACAAAGTAGGCCCTTTTGTTTTCTTTCCTCGCCTTTTCAACTGCAGGCCATGATTTCTGTCTTTGTTCTTGTTCTTCTGCAGATGGATCTTCAACAAACCTCAGCTTTTTTTTCTTGTAGGAAGGAAAAGCGTTTTGCAGAACGCCAAACAGCATCCAGATAAAACCGAAGGCCAAAGCGAATGATGATCCCTCTTGGACGTGTGTCGCTGCTTTTCTTTACTCCAACTTGATGAACCGCATCGATCACTCCCAACTCGTTTTTTGCCTCTGGTAGCAAAGCTTGGCAGATGCTGATGGCTTCTCTCCGCAGATCTTGATTTTCTTTTTCCTCCAATCCAAAAAGTCGTAAGTTCCATCGACGAGAGTAACTTTCAAGTTGGAAGATACGGTTCTCATGCAAGTTGCAGGATTTCTGGCAAATGCTCACTTGACTTTCACAGCAATCAACTTTAATTTTTAGCTCCCTTAGATCAGCACAGGTGAAGTCTAATGATTATTTTATGCTCTCAGTCTGCTTGGAGTTTTCTTTAATTGCCTCTTTAGCTTCAGAAATTACAACAGAGTTTTTACTTGACCATCTTTTCCAGGGCATCTGATCTAGTATTTATGAGGGAGGTGAACGATGCTAACTTTGAGAGGATGCTTGTTTCAGCATTGTGTGTCTTCCTTTGCTTCTCTGCTGGGGGTTTGGAAGGTGTTACAGGTAGTGGGCAGAGCTCTGCTTCAATGTTCTAAGTAATGTCTGAGGCAATATAGTCGTGCAAATTAACAGTCTTTGGCATTATCGACCCCGTTGACTGAACACGATTTGAGCTTGCTAGATTGCTGGTAGAGCTGGAGGGTAATGGCTTACCGGAGTCCGGTTTCCTTCTTTCTGCACTTTTCATTGTCACTTTTCCAGACTTCAAGTGCTGACTGGTATTTTAAAAAGTTGTAGGTATGCGTTATGTTGTTAATAGTTCCCCAAAATGTTGAAATTGGTCTGCTGGTTTGTCTGAGTTTCTAACACGTCTGTACAAGGTGTCATCGTGGCTCCAGTTCCGTAACAAGTGAATTTCCCTACTGTGGAATCAAAAAAGTCTATTCTATTCTATTCTAGCTCTGCTTGTTGCAAGGACAGATTAGTTTATGTTTGTTTACTCAGCAAATAACTAACGTGGAGTCAAAAGTTTTTTAGAGTATGTTTTCAACAATTTTTTTTTATTTTTATATTATTTTTTTACCTGTGGAAACGTCACTTCCTCCTTCTCGCTGACTTCCGTCCTTCGCGCGCATGCTCAGGCCTCTTTCCGACTCGGCTGGCAAAGATGGCGGATGCACAAGTATGTTCTCCGATTCGGCGTGGTGAATTTAAATCGAAGAATTATTGTATTATTACACGTGTTAGATAAGACATATGAAGTAATCTCCACTGGGGAGAGGTCTCTCAACTTAACGAGCCATTTTAAATTGGTTTCTCACGTTTATGTGTTAGGTTTATGGTCTGTTCCTTCCCCCGCGTGTGATGTAAAACTAGCCGTAATGCTAACTTTGTTAGCTTATACTAGTCCGGTTATTTGTGACACGCCTTTTTGAATTGTGTGTTTCGATTATTTTGGTTTGTTACACATTTATGAAAGAAATGCCCATTTCGCTTCAGCTGTGGTCGTTTTCGTTTTACCCAAAGGAAGTAAACCAGTAGCGGTCCACGAAATGTGTGCAAGTACATGTATTTGTTGAATGCAGCGATGTCAATTATTTTGCCGTTCCTCTGTAGACCGAGAGGGCCTATCAGAAGCAGCCCACAATCTTCCAGAACAAGAAGCGTGTTCTGACTGTTGAAGGTGCCAAGGAGGGCAAAGAGAAGCTCCCTCGCTACCACAAGAGTGTCGGGCTGGGCTTCAAAACCCCAAGAGAGGTTAGGAACTATTAAAACAATAATTACATTTATTAAAATATTCTCTGCAAGTGATGTTTTTTCTCACGATGGTCTTCCAAACCCGTAGGGTTCTGACGACAGCGCCTTTTGGCAACACTGATGTAGTCATTTACGTACTAGTTTGAGTTGTTTTTTTTCCCCTTTACTAATGACTTAGGTGACATTTATTCTCTTCTTTCCAGGCTATCGATGGCACTTACATTGACAAGAAATGTCCCTTTACTGGAAACGTCTCTATCCGTGGCCGCATCCTCTCTGGTAAAGTTTTAAACCCAGCTTATATGTTTGCTTTTGGTCAATGTTCATACAAAGCTATTAACATTTTTATAGCCATAAGAAAACTGTAGTTTAGTGTTCTGTGTTAATCAAATCAATGCTAATTATTAATAAGTACCATCTTGATATCCACATTAGGGTTGTGCAGATCTGTCACTGTCCATCAAATGATGCTTTTTCTCACGATGGTCTTCCTAGCCCTGTGGGCTCTGATGACAAAGCCTTAATGGCAATACTGATGTGGTCTAGTGACAAATTTACATTCCTGGTCTTGGTCATTGTCTTTAGAATTTCTCTACTTGCTATTATAAACTCAATCTGTTCTGCAGGTGTGGTGACCAAAATGAAGATGCAGAGGACCATCGTCATCAGACGCGACTACCTGCATTACATCCGCAAGTATAACCGCTTTGAAAAGAGGCACAAGAATCTTTCTGTCCACCTGTCACCATGCTTCAGGTAATACACCTCTTCTGTCATTTTGACATTGGGCATGTGATGATTGTGTGTATTTTGACTTTAGTCCTGGGTTGTTCAGTGTGATTTCATCAGAATTGTTTTTTAGTAGTTATGATTATGTTTTCCTGATTGCACGGGTTAAGACTGCAGACAGTCCAGGGTAACTGCAAATGATGCTTTCTCACGATGGTCTTCCTAGCTCAAGAAGCTCTGACGACGTTGCCATTGGCAAACACTGATGCAGTTTGTCTTATTTCCTCTGCTTGTAAATTGAAGATGTTAAAAGCTTATTTCTGCACAAATATTTAGGTCTTCATTAACATGCTCTGGTGTTTTTTCTACAGAGACGTCTCAGTTGGAGACATTGTGACTGTTGGAGAGTGCCGACCCCTCAGCAAGACCGTGAGGTTTAACGTCCTCAAGGTGACTAAGGCCGCTGGAGCCAAAAAGCAGTTTCAGAAGTTTTAGGCATGGCATGGAACAGGAAGGCAACTGTTAGTCATCATGTCTCTCTGTCAAATAAAAAATCTTGTTTCAATTTTCTCTTCCTTTTTTTTGGTGTGTGGGTGTTACTTTACTGATCATACATAATGAATATGGTGTAATCATTGTTTTTGTTATGAATATCTAAGCATTCTGTAAATTTACAGCTCTTTTTCCTAGCCTTGAAGCCAGCCAGAAAAGGGCGAATTCCATAAAGTGTAACTTATGGTGGAATGAGACATTGACTGTTTTTAAAGTTGTTCGAGGACTTAAACCAGTTAATTGCTGTACACAAAAGGCACTTGACTCATTAACTAAAATATTGTACATTTTTGTAGTCAGTTTATAGTATAAGATAATGTCTGGCGTTCAGCGTTAGAACTTTAACAGGTAAAACAACATAAAATGATTTTGTAATGGGTTGACTCCTCGTTGGCTAAGCTTCCTATAATCAAAAACAATATTTGATTAACAAAATGCAGCCATCGTATGTGAAGTCAGTGATGCTCTGTGCTGGTGTCGTGCTAATGCAATTAATACAGCAGAGTTTATATCCCCTGCTTCAGCAGCATGCTCCTGATGTCATTTCCAGTCCACTGGGCCTCGATTGTAGCCAACTGACAATTGTTTTAATATGATGAAAAAATGGAAGATGAATGTTCATTTGTGGATGTCATTAGGAAATGGCACATTTTTTGTTAAAACATGATTCATATGATTACGTAAAGCAAATGTTTTTCATACAGGATCACATCTGTGAAAAATCCATCCATTAAACTTGTGACAAAAAAAAAAAACATGTTCTGAAAAAGAACAGGTCATCACCAGAAAGTTTGGTGTGCTGGAAATGGAAATAGCCTACTTTATTTTAGACACAATTCTGTAGAAATAGACCACATAAATGGGCAACATAAAGATCACAAAGCCATATGTAATGAAATTAAAGTTAAGCCCAAAATTATTCAGAATTTTGGCGGAAATTGTAAATGGTAATTTTAGCATACTCAACTAAGAAGTGGCTTGTTAAACAAGCCAGGTATCTTTTTGGGAACCGTGAAAATTTAGTAAAATTGTTTTGTTTGCATAAAGAAAATGGTGTGTAGAAAAAAAATGTATTACATTCTTAACAATAATGCAAAGTGCTTTATTGTTCTAATGTATTTTATAACTTGTGAACAGCTTTTTATGGGTAACTTCTGGTATCTTTGGTGACCAGCAGCGAGTCATGGCTAGATGCAATCCCTATCTAGACCTACTGTACTAGACCAAAGACATTGTTTAGTCTGGCTTGCCAGGCTAATCCCTATCATCACTGTGACCTCTAGTCATGTATACGTTTATTCAGTGTTTATCAATTTTCCTCTCTTTCTACACACTTTAGTAAAAAAAAAGTTTTATTTTACCTGACTTGTTTCAGCTAGTATCTAGCCATCAGAGATCCTGATCTCATCTCTGATGATGGCTAGAGAGACTAGCTGAAACATGTCAGGTAAAAAAAAAAAACTTTTACTTAAATGTGTTTAAAAAACAAACACAAGAAAATGACCTCAAACTTCCTGCACAGGTTCTCAGATCAAGTTCAAGGCAGGATTGTAGCTGGGCTGTTCCAACATGTTAAAATCACACAATATAACTTTAAACTTCAGAATGGCTGGGATTTTATATTTTATGGATCTTGTCTCTAGGTTAGGTTTGCATGTTTATACAGAAATGCTAATACACACATACACTGTTCAAATTGGATACAGACCTCATGATCATAAGCTGTAAGTACAACTCTAAAATGTTTTGATTGTACACACAACCATTCTAACAATATAGGTCTTAATGACATCCACAACTCATGGGGGGTACTCATAGGTAGTTTCATCTCATTTAGAAACAGACAGCTACAGTTTATAAGCTTGGCCCTATTCTATTCAGAATTGACAAAGCTCATCAGATGAGAAGCGGAACATCCAGTTGCCTTTATTTGAACCCTTTTGGATTACCATGACCTGGATGACTGAGAGCCCCCACCGTCCAGCGCACATACACACACACCTGTCCATCAGTGATTACACACTCATGTTTCAAACCACAGCGTTCTTTTTTCACAGGGTAAACGCTCAGTCTTTGACACTTTCTCGCCTCTACCCAAGCTCCTGTATCCTCTCACACCATCACAACACCGGCAGGTATATCGAAAAGAAAAGGGCACGCTTGTCAAAGTTTGCCTGCCTTGACGTGTCCTGCTACAGTCATTGCATGGGAACCAGCATCACACAATACAGCCGCATGTTGAGTAAGTAAACGAATAGAAGTAACCTTTGAAGCTAAAAAACTTTTGATGAGATATTTGTAATAACACATTTCTTATCCATGTTCCTCCTGCAAAAGATTTCTTTTTGGGTAGATAAATGAAAGAAATTACGTTTTTTAAACGCATATTTATGTTATTGAGAATAATTTTTTAATCAGTATGTCGGACAGACAAATGCTTCAGAGTCCACGTTGGTGATTGTTCCTCTCCCTACCTTCCACTCCCTTGAGGTGATCCACAAGGTTCCATACTTGGTCCACTCCTTTTTTCTATCTACATTATCCCTCTAGTTACTATTTTTACCAAATATGGGGTTAACTATCATCTGTACGCAGACGACGGTCAGATTGACTTTGCCCTGAACCAGACTGGCTCCACCCATCTTCTAGAATGCCTTGCAGCCATTAAGGCGTGGCTTGCTTCTAATTTCCTCCAGTTGAATGAGGACAAGACAGAGGCAATTATTTTTAAATCACGATTTGATAAAAACACATCTGCCTCATTCACTCTTCCCTCCCTGACTTTTAGCTCCTGTGTGATTAGCCTTGGTGTTAAACTTGATGCAGACTTGTCAATGACCCAGCAGATAAATGCTACAGTGAGATCCTGTTTTTTTCCAATTCGTTACATAACACGCTTGAAACCCATTCTAAGAAGACCACACTTAGAATCTGTTATCGATGCATTTATTACCTCGTGACTCAACTATGCCAACTCTGCTCTCATAGGTGTCAGCACAAATTCCCTCAACCGTCTACAAAGGGTACAAAATGTGGCGGCCAGATTTCTCACTGGAACGAGCAGACTGTGCCACATTACTCCTGTTCTGGATGCCTTACATTGGCTCCCTGTAGCACATCACATACAATTCAAAGTTCTCATGTGTGCATATAAAGCCGTCAATAATAACGCTAACTGTCTGAACTACTCACACAATATGCTCACACCCGTTCACTGCGTTCTGCAGATCACAACTTTATAGCATAGCATAGCATAGTTTATTTATATAGCACATTTAAAACGCAGCATGGGAGCTGCCCAAAGTGCTGCACAGGCTAAAACAAAACGCAACAATTCGAAAGAACTAAAACAGAGGATAAAAATCCCAATCAAAAGCAGATAAAACATGATGAATACTAAGAACACATTAAAACAATGATACAATAAAACACTAAAACGAGCCACTGTCTAAAAGCCAAAGCGTAAAAGTGGGTCTTTAAACGAGATTTAAAAACCGCCAGAGATGGAGCCTGCCGAACTCCAATGGTCAATGAGTTCCATAGCTTTGGGGCAGCATGGACAAATGCTCGTTCACCCCGCGATTTGAACGCTTCCGCGGCGTGCACAGCAGCAAAAGGTCAGCCGACCTCAACCAGCCTTATGTGCATTCCCAAAATGAAATACAAATCCCTTGGAGAGTGAGCTTTTGCATTTGCTGCTCCTAAGTTTTAGCCTGGCAAGCTAAAATAATAGATTTATTTAGTCTGGCCACGCTCCATTGACGGCTCTCGGTTGTGGGGCGGGTTCTACCGTTATCTTTCAAATGATCTCCGCATTCCACTGGACAAAGAATGTGACATACTTTTGTTTCACTCTGTTGCATCATCCCACCCACCAGGCATATAGAGTGCCCTGATTGGCCCACAAAGCGGATAAAGCTCTGTGATTTGTTCACTAGGCAGATAGAGCACTATGATTGGCCCACCATTATGGACCAATCACAGTTCTTTATGTGTTTGAAACCCCTCTAGAGAGCTGTGATTGGCTAGCCAGAGTACTGGTAGGAGCTGCTGAGGTTCCAATGGAGCATGCCTAGACCATTCTTTGCAAAGCAAGAATTTGGTCTAGTTCACTAGGCTACCTAAGTTTTGGAATGCACTTCCACTCTACAGTCTCTATCACCTGCACATTGTAAATCCAGCCTTGAGTCACACCTCTTCAGAATGGCTTTTGGACGGTAACATTTTAACAAACAGACGTTTTCCTCGAATTGTATTTTTTTTCTATTACTGTTTTTCTCACTTTTTGCTTTTATCCTGATGTTTTTTTATCTTGTTATTGCAACCAAATGTTTATGTTTTTGTAATTTGGTTAGCATTCTTGATTTTATGTTTTATCAGCCTGTTGTATCTTTGATTGATTTTAACATAGGATTATTGCTCTTTTGTCTTTGTTACATTTGCCCTCTTTCTGTGTTCACGCACTTTGTTCAGCTGACATGCTGTTTTAAATGTGCTCTAAGGCTTGGTATGGCATGGTATTTTTTCTGCTCCCTGGTCTGTAATTCTATTGGTGCTGATAGAAAGGATTAAGATGTTTTGAATATGTAAATTCAGCTTTTTACTTATGTGTAATTATACTTAAATGTGCTGTACAATATGGGAGTAAGACAGTAAATGAAAAAGTAAATATTGGACATTTTATGGTCATTTATTTGCACAGACTCACGATTTGAAGCTAAAACATTTTTATACCCAGGAAAACTTGCATATTTAGCAATAACTGGCACTGAGACGGTTGTTTATCAAGGTAGTTTCCACAAAAGGGCCGTTGGAAGTAGTAGCTGTATAAATTTGGTGTTTCAGAACTTCACTCTACTCTGGGCGCACGTGCACGAGAACTAGACGAGAACGAGCCCGTCTGGAGACATGAATCACGTGTGCGACGTGCTTTCAGTCAGTTGGTAAACAGGTTACGTCAGAGAGCAGTCGCTGACCAAACCGGATGAGAGCGGATATTCATGTAACTTTCTATTTTTGTCGTCTTTGTCGCTGATCACGTTAAAATCACTGTTTATCGTCAATTTTAAGTTTCATACGCATGTGTTGTACACGTTTTCAGAAAATTCTGCCGACCTTTTGATCTTAAATGTTTATAAAAAGTAAATACGGATTTTTTAAAATAAAAATTTAAATGGTCAAGTTATTGACTTGTTAGTTGTCGGATGCAATGTTTATAAATAGATTTTTTATAGTAAATATATCACAAAGTCCTCAATTCAATGAAATATTTCAAAGCAATGCCGCTTTTATTTTGTTATCCTCACCGGAAACGCTTTGAATAACGTTGCTAGCTTGCTCCCACTGGTATCGAGCCTGGCTAGGGGAGAGGAACTGTGGGATAGGGCAGAATACGGGTGGGTAAAAGAAGATTAAGCTGGGTTAACATCTGGCAACGCAGACGAAAGAAACGGAGCAGGTAAGTGAAAGTGTTTTTTAGGTATTTTCGTCACCACTGCCGGATTTCAGCTTCTTTAAAGCCTGAAAATATGAGCGTGGTGAAACGTTTCATCATGAGGAGGCTGCACACAACACTGAACAACAAGATAAACAACAACAGCTGCTGCAGCGGTAGCACTTGTGTTGATTAACGAATAGCCTGCAAGTTTAAATAAAATAGATGGGATTACAAAGACGGATGCTAAAGGAAACGGAAGAGAGGCATTACAAAGCGCTAACGTAGTAGCTACACTTGTTAGCTTTGGTCAATGTGCAAAATGATGATGACTGCGCCAGTCAACACACAGACTACTTTTTCATGTCTAAACGTGTGCAATCAGCCTTTTGATCAATAACAAACTCAACGGAGAAACGATCATTAAAAGTTATTTGTCTTTATTTTATGATATTTTTTATGTTTCCAGGGGTCACCAGCAACTTGGCAACATCTCTTCTCTCCCCTGGCTCCATTGTGCAAGGACATCGCATAAATCATCACATTCAAAAGTCACAGAGTGCCTCATTTCCTAATAACGTCACCCTGCTTCTTCATCTGTGCAAAACATAATCTGCAAACTACGCCAGCAAGAAGAAACTAATAAAGTACATCTCAGCTACCAAAGTCAGTGTTGCATCAAGTTTAGATCAGTTGTTCTGAAAAACTAACTTTCAAAACTTCTCATAGTGCTACTCAGTTATCTCACAAGGCCAATTCAAGTAGGATTTTTGTTTTAAATAAGTACTTTGCACCATTATGGCCTCCACGATGCATTCGTCCGAGCCAGACATCCCAGACAACCACAAAGAGAGTTGGCTGGCTTTACTTTCTGCTGCAGAAATATACAGCCAGAAATCTGGCTGTGACCTGGCCATACTCACAGCCTGCAAGAAGTTCCGGCCGCCAGCTGGAGAAGGGGAAGGAGTGAAAAAACAGGAGAGCGGCACCACCTTTCCGAGGGAGTGTGATTTCTCCTATAATGTGTGGGGTCAGAGCTTTCTGGCTGAATCGGCACGCCGCTACATGGACGACATCGGAGTGCTGCATTCCACGACCATGCTAACAGCCCAAAAGCATGCTCGCCAAGCTGGGGAGGATGGAGGAACCAAGCTGATGGTTGACTTGACCTCTGACCCCGGACAGAGAGGGGTGAGTGGGCTGTTTGTGCTGCACGTCTCACTGAAGCCATTCACTCAAAAAGGTTCACATGCATATTGTGTTTAATTCTGTGTCAAAGTTGCAGAGCTTTACAGGCGATGCGGGAGTGGGCGGAGTCAGTCCAAACGGCAGGCTTTACCCTCAAAGCTACCCTTCGATCTACAGCTCAGACACAGCGGCCGTGCATGGCGGTGGGCAAAACTGTAACCGAGAGAAGGGTCGGGAGAGGAGTGTGCTGGACATAGAGCAGGAGAGACAAACGTCAGGGATAGTGGATTTGGAAGAAGAGGGTGAGGAGGTGGAAGAGGAGGAGGACATGGATGAGAGGCGACCCTATGGGAATGAAAGTGCCGGTGAGGAATGAGACACTGAGCTGTTGGTGTGATTCAGAAGGTTATGGTGTGTTTTCACAGGGAATGTCACTGTAAACAAACTCCGTTTGATCTAGAGTTTGTTGTTGGTAACCTCACACGTCCTACGAGTGACACTAAGCTGACTTTTATTCCACTTTAGGTGTATTCTCTATGGACGAGGACTCTATTTCTCGGGACTGTGAGCCCTTCTTTGAATCTGACGGGGAGGAGGAGAGCACTGATGGTGAGACATTTGTTACACCTTGTGTCATTTTTCTCTCTAATGCAACATTACATAATCCTTTGAGTTTCCTTTTCCTCCTGGGTCAGGCTCACTGAGTGAGGACGCCCCTCCACCACCTCGGGGCATGGCCATGGGTCAGTCTGCGTTCTCGTCTCGTCACGCCCACCACATGGCTTTGGCTCGCTCCCTGCCTGTGTCTGTTCCAGTGTGGGGCTGCAAAAGCAACAGAGCTGCTCAGGGAGACAGCAACAGTGGTGAACGGGTGAGCACGCAGAGGGAGAGCTGCTAGGTTTCTTCATCGCAAAGATCTCAATTGGGTCTCCACTAAATGTGTAAAACAAAATCTCACATCGATAAAGTGCTGGAAAAATGGTTTTACTTACACATCATGCATTTCTGTTGGTTATATAGAAAAATAGATGTGTGCTAAAGAAAAATTACCTTCATGATGCTTTTAGGTGTCACTTGATCCTGACATATTGTATTTATCTACTTGTGACGACCAGAAAAACTTATTTTTACAGGAAAGCACGAACAGTCAAAGGTGTGGTTCACTCGTCCAGTCAATACGTCAGCAGTGGTCTCTAGTAGGAATTGATGCCTTTTAAGTTGTAATCTGGGGAAACAAAGATCCAGTGTACTAGTTTCAGGAAGTAGAAGTGAGTCACATCAGAGCTGAGCTTCAGATGACAGGATTTGGACTCTTATTTACTGATTTGTGGACATCTCACCTCTGATTGGATAACAACAACAAAATTCTCCCACTGACTCCGTTTGCACTGAGACATGGATCAGGGTTTCCCCCAGAAAACCTGCTGGCCCGGCGGACCATGCGTGCGGGGAAGTTGCACGGTTTGTTCTGCTGCCATCTGTGACAGCAGAGGAGGGGCGTGTGGCTCATTTCGCTACGTCTTCCGTGATCATGGGGGTGGACGCTTGGCCTGGCGGGGGAGCAAGCAAGGCCAGATGACCCGCCAGGCTTTTAAAGCGGTAGAGGAAACTCTGTGGATCAATCAGTCAATCAAGGCTTTATTTATATAGCGCCTTCATTACGGGAGGTCAAGGCGCTGAAGAACAAAATACAGTCATAAAAGAAATTAAAACATTAAACATGAAACAACAGAATTAAAAGCAAAAAAAAAAAAAAATCCAAATTGCATAAAAGTAAGCAAACTTCAAGCATGTTCAGGAAATGCTGAATGAAAAAAAGGGTTTTCAGGCGACTCTTAAAGACAGGCAAAGAAGTAGACCGCCTAATTGACTGTGGGAGCTGGTTTCAGAGTGACAGCGCTAGAAATGAAAAAGCCAGGATGTTTTATCTCCACAAATAACTCAAGCCTGGAGGAGTTCTGCAGTGTGGTGGAGTTGCTAATGGTAAAAGTTAGCTACTAGTCGAGGCGTTCTCTGCCGTTTCCTGGACGCCAAACCAACAACAGCCTTTCCTGTCGTGAATCAAAATGGGAGAGTCCATAAATGCTGAGTGACGGTGTGACGTAGATCTGTCAGGCTTTTCAAATCCTAGAGTTTCACTGTCTATTTTCTATCAGAAGCTAATGCAGGAGATAGGTGTAGGAGACTATTTTCATGTTCAGCCTGCATGAAAAACCCAGATTGACTGCAGAAACAATCATTAAAAGTGTTTTTTCTTTGTTCCACACCTTTAAACACATTAGAAACATTTCAGACATATCCTGAACGTTGAATTAATTTGTGTAAAGATTGTTTTTATTAACGTCTTTATCTCTGTCTCTAAGGTGGGCTGTGCCGATCTGGAGCACATCGCCGCGAGTATGAAGGCCCTGTTGGTCCCTGGAGCCACCGATGGGACGGAGATGTTTGGTGCACTGCCACGGCCTCGTCTCAACATGGGCGACTTCTCGCTCAAGCACTGAGCAGGGAGAGGGGTGAGGCAAACAGAGAGAGGGACAGAAAGAAACCCTGAATAATCTGGAAAATGTGACGTTCAGTATGTGAAACAGTGTAAAAACTAGTACCTCCAGTTATTATATTGATCACTAACCAAAATAAATGGCACACGCTTTACAGGAGAAACAAAATGTTATCAACACTAATAACATTTGCAACACTACCAACCCCCACTGTCTCATAACATTTCACAATACTGGCTTCTACCAACCGCAACACTAGACGTGGAATGAGCCTCGGGTTGTGTGGCCCACAGCACAGCTGGGACTCTGGGACTGGATGAGAAGTGGTGTGACCAAGTCTTGGGATGTTCTTACTACCTGTGATGTCATGAGGTCTTTGAGAGAAAAGATGACGTTGTGGCTGCTTCATGGTCAGGTCTGGTGCTCCTGCAGCTACTTGGAGATCATTTCAGCTCTAACGCAGAAATCTTTAGGAGAAATGTGGCAAATAATTGTTATTTCTTTTGTTAAGAAAAACGGTATTTCTTCCTATTTTTCAGAGATTGATAGAAAAACCTAAATGTTGGGAAGCTAGAATCAAAAACGTGCAAACTATCTGGGATTTAAATCCACTAAAATCACACATCGTCGCCTTTAAAGCTCCGTAACTGGTGGGTAAATGCGTGCAGACATTTAAGAAAGGCGAGTCATTCTGCTCATGTCGTTTTATGTTTTTCTCGCTGCCAAAAATGGCTGATTACTCGACTACGGTTTAAGAAGTGGCTGGTTTAAAAGTTACTTCTTCAAAAATATAAAACAGCTGTAACCTTACCTTTAAATGTCAGCTTCAGTGTGTTACATTTAAGTCATGAAACCCCTATTGTGCGAGCTTTAAACGGGACTTTAGTTGACGTTTGAACACAAAACCTGAGATTCATGACTGGTTTTTGTAATCTGCCGACATGTTTGAGACGATTCCTGCTTTTACACGCCTGACTGAAATGAACAAGTCAGTTCTATTGAGTTATGGTACATAAACCAGGTGATGGAGCTGGGAAATGTGTGAAACTGGTGCTGATTGCCAATTTAAAAATTCTTGGAATCATTTGACTGGGTATGGAGTTATACTTGGAGCAAAAACACGCTTGAGCAGCTGTAAGAACCTTGTTTGTAATTTAAACACCAGAAGTTTTTAAATCTCAAATGAACTATTTTTGAAAGCCAACTATTTTATATTGCCCCTTATTTAACGCCAGCATATAGGGGAGTGGATTTCTTTTCCTTAAACCAAAATAAAATAAAAACACAACCTTTGTGAAGATCAGTGAGGCTGATATAATGAAATACCTTCTCTTAGCAGGTTGCAAATGAAGCCAAGCTTTGGGATTTTGCTGCCAAATGAACAAGGAGGATAAATATATCAGGTCTATTAATAACATGTTTTCTCACATTGTTCATGAAGTAAAAACTTATTAAAGATTAATCTGTAACCAATGTGAGACCTCGACAAGCAGAAAAACACCAAAAACTTTAATTTATCGGCAGAGTAAGAAATTGCTCATAATTGTAATTTAAAAACATTGATTAGTCATAGAAATCAGAACCCTGCGTGGGTCCAGCTTCATGTTTATTTAGATATCAGAGCTGAAGGGTATTTTTGTTTGCATCAATCTGTTGGATTTAAAGTAATTTTACCAAAATTCTCTGTTTAAAAAGATAAGTTCTGTCTTTGTGTTTCAGTTCCTGCTCAAAAATAACAATTTAGTCATTTTTGTCATCTCCAGTCAGTTATCAGCTCAGGTGACCAACAGGCTCTGTGTGTTTTCTTCTACGGAGCAGAAAGATGGCGGGTTTAACATGAAACTTATGGCTTTTGTAAATGTGAGCAGAAGACACCAGCACCTTCTCATTACATGCCTACTTTTTAATTTCTCCAGTGAATGACTGACTGTCAGAATGATTGTAAACCAATTCTGCTTTATAGGTGATGGTATTCATTTTTGTTTCATTTGCTTGAATGTGTTGTTGAAATGCCTGAAAGAGAGAGAGAGAGAGAGAGAGAGAGAGAGAGATTCTGTTAGAGTAAGAGAGAGAGAGAGATGGTTTAAAAGTCTACCTGTTTGATATTTCAAAAATGGTTAAATGTTCCGTTAAGTACTTTTATGTTTCAAATAAAGGAGCAACACCAAGAGGAAAGACTTCTTTCTATAGACAGTTGTGTTAATTTTATTGTCCTGTAGGGGGTGTTGGTGAGCTGCATGAGTTGAAGCAATGCACACAAACAGATGTGGGTATAATTACACAGAAGTAGAGTTTATTGGCTACATTCAGCAAATAAAAAAATACAGACACAACTGTCAAGGTAAGTGTAATGAAAACACACAGTTTTACCATTCTACAGATAAGAAAAGCACAGAAACAATATGAAATGAAGCATTTATGCATGTTTGGATGTGATCTGAACTCTGTAAGCTGTTTTCATGCATTCCCATACAGCACAAACAATCTACTCCTTTCCAAGCTTCTACTCTTGTTCCCCAAGCATCACAATATTTGATTTTAATCCCCTGGCATTTTTCTAAAAATATGTTTGCCAACCACAAACACTAATTTCACTGACCAGTCACTCACTGCCCCTGTTTTCGGAGAAGGCAGGAAGAATTTGTGCCAATCCAGAACCCTGGGAAAGCCTTCTCTGTCAACTTGGCCTTGAACTTGTGGATTAGTTGGACCTCCTCAGCCTCTCCCCCCACTGAGAGGAACTTAATGATGCCGGCCGGCTGGTCGACATAAACACCTATGGTGATGGACTGGGGGAGCTGGATGTCAATGTTGTCACCATTGTGCCAGGCTTGGTAGCAGGAACCTGACCAGCCAACGCCCCAAGAGCTGCTGTTCTCACCAAGGCCGCAGGGCCCCTCCTGGCTCTTCCGGGGAGCACTCTCAGAGACCACTCCGATCACCACCCAACCGTCATAGTCCACCTCCCAGTACCCTCGATAGCCCTGCAGCCCTTCCTTACAAAGTACCTGAAAGATAAGAAATGGCAAAGCTAGTGTGAACATTAGAATGAAAGACGAGGCCTCGAGTTTGAAGTGAAAGGGAATACTAAAGGAAGGTATCCAATCCCAGGACAACCACTCAATGTACCTTTTAGGTGATCATTCGTTCATATTTGTACTATAATTGTTGGAAATTATGGATCGCCTGATTTGCTAGTCCGTCCCCCCCCCCCCCCCCCCCCCCCCCCGGCCGCTTGGTGCATTACGCACAATGCATGATGTGCATGAACACGGCCCTCTAGCTGGCCAACAGAGCTAAAACACATTGTTTAACAATTATTATTCTCATGTTATGTACTTTATCCTAATACATATATATATGTATTTTTTTAAGACTTGTTCATAAGAAATGTCGCCAACTCAGCATCAGTCTAGGTACCTGTGCAAATGTGTACACACACTGTTACTGACATCTGTATGTAAACAGATGTCCAACGCTATTAACTGATAATGAGCAGCACTCAATTCAAATTGCAAGCAGCGCTATGGGATGGGCTTAGCATAAACAGGATGTATTACATCATAGTACATGGTAATACTATCTACTGATTAAAAAAAAACAATTCCTGGAAGGGGAGAACTCCAGATTTCTGCTTTAATTTAGGTAATGGAAAAAAGTGCCATAGTAATAGTCTCCAACAGCAGCTGAATCGCATTCTTCCTGAGATAATCCTGACAAACGTCCACTACACAGAGCAAATTTCACAATTTTTTTTCTACTGACATATCTCAAAAACTACACATAGGATCTGTCATATTCTGTAAATTTTGTATGGGAGTAGCAGTAGCTGAAGAGTTTGATGTATAATATGTGCATGGTATGCAAAGGTTGTGTCAAGTAGGACCTATACCGATAATTTTCTATATTATATTTTAATGCCAATGCTGATAATTTTGGACATCCCACATTATTTGTGCTCATTTTACTGCCAGTCACCAATACTTTGGAGTTTTGCTACTGTAAAACTGATAGTTTGCAGCCGTGCAGTTACTGAATGTGCAAAATGCCTGAATTTGTTTTTCAAAATAAAAAAATTCAGAGCATAGTAAGATCTCTGTAGGCGGGAACTTTAATTCAGATGAGTTTGAGAATTGGTAGAATAGTTTTTTTGACCACTGTGCTTCACTACCATCTAACAGCATTCTTAGTGCACTTTTGAAGGTTTGCATATATGCTGATGATCATGTTTTGTGAGCATTAAGCCTTGGTTATTTTTCAAAAATACGAATAATCAAAATGTGAATGCAATGGCTCCTTGTTAGTAATATTATGGTACTTGAAATAGGTTTGTGAGCTTGTAATAAAACTTTATGCCTGAAACAACTCAGGACTTTAGCATTTTAAGCTTCTAATGAAAGTGTTTCCCCATCCATCTCCAGGCCTTACCTGTGGTGAGTGGTCAAATCTCTCAGGCCTGTTGGGATACGGACAGACTGCATCAGCTGTACGAGCCACCTTAGAGCCACCCTCAGAAATCCACAGAAGCTTCTGTGCGGTTTTATCATCCAGAGAAACAGGGAGCCAGTCTGAGCAGATTGTAGGGGTAAAAATGAAGGCAGAGAATGGAAGCATGAGGGCAGTGATTTAAACAAATTGTGTTAGCTCCAAAAAAATGTCATCAAGATAGTTGTGCATTGAGCTAAATGACTTTCTGGAAGCTCAACTGGATGTAGAGAGGCTGCTGAATCTGAATTAAAAACTTTGTTTGCTGATTTTAGACTTTTTCCCAGACTAATACATGTTTAACGAGAAAATCTTGGAATAAAAACAGGTGCCTTATTTCTTTTGTTTGTTTTTAGAATTAACATTTTGAAACTAAAGCACATTTTTGCAGTCAAACCCATATGTGACAGTGTGAGCGTCCTGTCACAATGTCCCGATTGATCATGCGCCCTGGCTACTTGGCCAAGGGGCTGTCCCTTTGGCTGACTGGTTAGAGCGTATGACTCTCACCCGGGAGTCTGGGGATCGAATCCGGCCCGGGCCCTCGTTTCTCCACCTTGCCACATTTGGCGTTGTTGGCAGGATCCATGTAGTACTGTCAAGTAGGTCCATGGATGTGAAGTTTGTGGCAGCCTGCGCGGGAGCACGAGGACGTGCTTGTGGAAAGAGGGGGGAAGATGTGACAGTGTGAGCGTCCTGTCACAATGTCCCGATTGATCATGCGCCCTGGCTACTTGGCCAAGGGGCTGTGCCTTTGGCTGATTGGTTAGAGTGTATGACTCTCACCCGGGAGTCTGGGAATTGAATCCCGCCCGAGCCCTCGTTTCTCCACCTTGCCACACATAGTAAAACGTTCATCTTCTAAACATACTTTCAGTCGATTCACTTGGTACAACCAAGGTACTGTGGGACATCACACCCTTGTGTGGCCTGGCTGAAGACACATCTAATCACGCCTGTAAAGACATGCCAGTGACGCTGGGTGGTGGCCTCGCCTTCTACCTACAAGCCCCCCGTGTCACTGGCATTTTTCAGTTCTCACGCTCTTCACCTCGCTGATGACACGTAAGTACAAAGAAACTATTGTTAGCTATGCTATTGAAAATTGCTCACTGGAGTTGATTCTGCAGCCCTCTGGTCAGTGCTCATCCACCAAGGGCTACCTTTTCATGGCTCTTTAAGCTTTCTGCCACTGTGCTCGTTCGCTTCTGCCACTCGTCTTTGTGTTGCACCATGAGCACTGTGTTAGATTCCGCTAGGTGAAAGTCTGCTTCGCGTCGTTTTCTTCAGGGCTGTGGGTTTTTTCTCCACAAGAAGCACCTGCACGACACCTGTCCTGTCTGCCTGTGGATTCTTCATGCCAAGAGAGTGCTCACAGACCCAGAGACGTGCAAGTTCTGTCACTAGCTCCATTGTCCCACACTCGATCAGCACATGAACTTCCTCCAATGTGTCCTGGGGGACGCTGCGGGTTTGCAGCAGGACCCTATGCTCTCCGAGTCGGCTCCTGCGGCTTTGTACAGCTCAGACGCTAGCGGTCTTGCAAGGCTGGTGAAGGTTCTCAGTCATACAGGTTATGGTAATCCAAAAGTGTTTAAATGAAGGCAACTGGACTTCTTTTGTTTCTTGAAGACATGAAGAGTGGACCTGCTATTTACCGTCTGTGCAGTGCAGGTTTTCCGCTGTACAGCTGGAGAGGTTTTAGCGGGTCCAGGTCACCTGGACATGGAGCTCAGAACGCCTGTCATAAACAAGGTGCGGAGCCATTCCGCTCCACTAGAATGCAATGGTGCCATCACAACAGTGTTGAGCAGCCAGGTTACTGAGAACCTTTCTCTGGAATGCATGCGCTGTGTCCCGCTGGGTCGAGTGCACAGTTACCGCCGATTACAATCCCGGGTCGGACCACCTGTGTTCACTGCGGTTGTGCACAATATTATGAATGCAGGTGCAGTGGTCATGTTGAGAGAGGAAATTTAGGCTGTTAACAAAAAGAGCTGTTCGAGCAGTTCCCCTCAAGTAAACAAACAAGATGTGGCAAGGTGGAGAAACGAGGGCCTGGGCAGGATCCAATCGCCAAACTCCCGGGTGAGAGTCATGTGCGCTAACCAGTCAGCCAAAGGGATATCCCTGTTGTGACAGTGTGAGCGTCCTGTCACTGTATCCCGATTGATCATGCGCCCTGGCTACTTGGCCATGGGGATGCCCCTTTGGCTAACTGGTTAGCACGCATGACTCTTACCCGGGAGTCTAGGGATCGAATCCCACCTGGACCCTCGTTTCTTCACCTTGCCACACTGTGGCTTAGTAGCTAGGGCGCATAATCAATCTGGATACAGTGTCAGGATGCTCACCTTGTCACAAAGGGTTGGTACAACCATTACTTTGTTGTCCCGAAAAGAGGTGGAGAGCATCGTCCAATTCTGGATTGGTGTATACTAAACAACTATTTGTGCAGGTACAGTTTTTTAAAATGCTAATGCAAGCAGCAGCCAAAGGCCATCAGCCATGGAGATTGGTTTGTTCCAATCAATCTCATGGATACATATTTTAATGTGGAGATTCATGCCAATCATAGGCAGTTCCTGTACTTCACATTTGAAGGGCAAGCCTACGAATATTTGGTTCTCCAACTCGGATCAGCCCTAGCTCCCTGCACCTTTTCCAAATGCCTGGAAGCTGCTTTAGCACCTCTCATGCCTACTGCACACTGGAAGCAAAAGTGGCGCGGAACGGCAGTGGAATGGTTTACTCGCAACAACCACTGCACTGAAGTGCACACCGGGAGACCCTCACCAGCGAAGCGGCTTCTCTGCCGTGCTCCTCATTCAACTTGTGTGATCGTGCAATCCCACAAGACTTCAGGTCACGTTTTGTTTATGCAATCTGCCATTAAACCAAAATGAACAAATCCCGTTTGATATCTCTGTTTGATGTCATATATGATGTTGTTCTTCTACAAAGCCATGAAAACACACCACTGCACTTCTGGAAGGATGTTGTGAGTTAATAAGCCATTAGGTCTCGCTGCAATACTTTTATTAAGAAAATTACTGGGGATTTTACACTGAAACTGTGTGTGATTTACTGTCTAGCCCTGTGTTGATTGCAGTAATTGAAGCATCCTAGAAGCGGCTCGAGGAAAAAAATAGAATCCGATCCTTTCTTTAGCGATGCGGCGTGCCACTTCTGAAAATTGCTGCGTCGCAGCTGGTTTGTTAAACTCCATAGATTATAATGGATTCTATTTGAAGCAGTGCCATTCCACTGCCATTCTGCGCCGCTTTTGCTTCCAGTGTTCAGTAAAGGTCAGAGAGAGCGGCATCCGCTTTCTTCCCTACTTGGACAATTGGGTTCTGGTAGCGGGTTCTCGGTTGCGTGCGGAGGCTCATGTTTCCCAGTTTCTTTCTCATGTTTGAGCCCTAGGCTTTCCTCCGTAGATTATAAGATGAGGTCCCTAGAACCGAGCCAGAGTGTTTCCTTCCTCAGACTAGAAATATGTTCTTGGTTGGTAAGACTCTCGGGTCACTGGATAGCCGCGTTTCGCAGCCACATGACCCACTTCCAACTGGGAGCCAAACTAACACTCCTCACAGCTTTACAGCTGGTGGGCATGATAGCTTCTACTATAGCCATGGTGCCTCTCGGTTGGTTATAGGTGGGGTGCGACACTTCCAGCATTGGATACGCTTTCACAGTCTCTGTCCCTCGTGTCATCTTTACCGGAAGTTGACCATCCCCAGGGCCTACATAGTGGCTGTTCTCTCATAGAGAACCAGGTTGCTCCACCAGGGTTCTCCAATTGGAAGGGTGTCCAAGCATGTGGTGGTGGCCACAGATGCTTCTGTGAAAGACTGGGGGGCTCTGTATGAGGTTATAGCAGTAAGGGACATATGGTCCCCAACACAATTGGGGTTCCGTATAAACTATCTAGACCTGTCTGCCATGTGTCTGGCCCTAATACTTTTCAGTCATTACCTGAGAGGCCAGCATGTGCTAGAACTCTCCCTTCCTCTGAAAAATCTGACCCACGCATCGCTATATTAGTGCAATCAGAATTTCCTGTCTCAGAGCAGCTTATGTCCCCTGTTGCATGACCCATGGGATAGACCTGCTCTCCAGTGATGGACCTCTGGCAAGGTAATGGAGGGTTCACCGACTTGTGGTGTCCCAGATCTGGACATGGCTTGGCAGGATGGTGGTGGTTGATCTGTTTGGGTCACTTGCAAACACACACATACGAAAGATCAGACCATACCTAACACAACATGCCACCCAGCTCCTGGTGCAATCTACTGTCATCTTCCGCCTCGATTACTGCAATGCCCTTCTAACTGGCCTTCCAGCCTGTACTGTGAGACCTCTTCAAATGGTCCAGAACGCAGCGGCACGTGTGGTCTTCAATCAGCCAAAAAGAGCACACATCACCCTTCTGTTCATTGAGCTCCACTGGCTACCGCTAGCAGCACGCATCAAATTCAAATTGCTAACACTAGCATACAAAGTCCGGGATGGTACGGCTCCCATCTACCTGAATCCTCTTGCAAAGGCTTACGTCTCGGCCCGGCCGCTCCAGTCATCACAGGATCGTCGGCCAGCAGTGCCTACACCACGCTTAGGACAATCCAGACTCTTCTCATGCATCGTTCTACAAATGTGGAATGACCTTCCAAGCACTACCAGAACAGCGGCTTCCTTTTCAATTTTCAAGAAACTTCTGAAGACCCTGCTCTTCAGAGAGCATCTTCTTAACTAGCACCTTCCCTGCACCCGTCCCCCCCTCTCTACTGTCCACTCCTTTGTTCCCTCCTCTCCATGATTGATGTCAAGTTGTTGTTATTGTTGTTTTTAGCCTCAAGGGCAACATCTGGCAGAAACGTCTGTCTCAAGCCCAGGGAGAGATGCTGCACCCTCATCCACACTTGTGGAAACTACAGGCATGAAAGTCTTCCCCTGGTTGTGGTGGATACTGTTCAGAGCTCGAGAGAATGCACCACTAAGGGTCTATATGCCTATAGGTGGAAAGTTTTTGGGAGTTGTGTCTGAGCAGGTCCATGGTTCCTTCGCAGAACTCCAACTGGAAACAGCAACTGGACAAGGGCTTATCATTCTCCACTTTGAAGCTCTACCTGGTGGCCATTTCTGCTTGGCAAGAGTCTTTTAACAGGGCTTTCCTGTGGTTTCACCCTTTTACTTTATGGTTCTTGAAGGGATTTCACAAGCTGAGGCCTGCTGTTAGACTTTCTGTCTCTTCCTAGGATCTCATTTTGGTTCTAGGGGCCCTCTGTGGTCCTCCATTTGAGCCAATTAAGTTGGTTGACACGAAGTTCCTATCTTATAAAACAGCCCTGCTCTTTGCCCTGGCATCGGCTAAGCGGGTTGGGGATCTTCATGCTCTTTTGTTTTACTCTTCCTGTCTGCAAATTTCAACAGACGAGTCTAGGGTTGCTCTGTGTCCAAATACTGCACATATGCCCAAGGTCATCCCACTGACCTACGATTCCAGGAGAAGAGGAGGTTGCATTGCATGTGCTCGCTTTGTACAGGCTTATGTGGACTCCAGTTTTCCGACTATCAAGCCAGCTGTTTGTGTGTTTCGCCAAACCCTCCAAGAGTTAAGCTTTGTCAAGGCAAAGACTTTCTCATTGGACTGTGGAGGCCATTTCCCTGTGTTACAGTGTTAATGGCTCTCAGCTGCCCCAAGGGGTCAGAGCGCACTCTACTAATGGTATGGCCAATTCAGGGGAGATGTTTTTAGGGCGTTTCAGGCAGTGTTGTTTTTGGCGGGCATCTTAGATTTAGTCTTAGTCTTGATGACAAAAATGCATTTTAGTCTTAGCCAGTTTTAGTCGACTAAATCTCGAAAAGGTTTTAGTCTACATTTTTGGTTTTAATTGTACAAAACATGAAACAGAGTATTATTCTCTAACAAATGATTTTATAGGTCAGACACGTCTGAGCTACTGGAGTGAGTTTTATACCAACATCTGTTGGTGAAGTTTCTCAGTCATCCAGGTCATGGTAATCCAAAGTGTTCAAATGAAGGCAACTGCATCCGAGGAAACACAACAACTCCCTCTCAATAGAGGCCAATGACTCATCAGGGGATGGAGAGGCAGGGTACCCAGAGAAGTTTTGGCTCATTAAATAACAACTGACAACCACATCTTATAAGCTTGACTCTCCCATATTCCAGTTAGAATTGACAAAGCTCCTCGGATGAGAAGTGAAACATCTTCAAGAAACCAAAGAAGTCCAGTTGCCGTCATTAGAACCCTTTGGATCAAACCAATGTCATGTATTTTATGGCAATGGGACACAATATCAGCTGACCCACATTTTGTAAAACAATAATCCCCCGACTGGCATCATTTTTTAAACTTTATTGATGATAACAATAGTGTATATAATTTATTAATGCAGATCTGTGCATCATTCTGTAGCTTTTCCTTAAGTTCATAGATCCTTGGTATTGTTACACAAAACGTTCCACAGTCGTTTCTGAAATAAACTTTCTTGATTTTAACTTTCACCTCTCCAGAAAGATTTTTTATTGTACACTGTTCATTAAAACAGTTTCCAGGAACAAATAAGACATATAATATAAATGATGTGAGAAAGATTAATAGTAAAATGTCCCTAATTATTCACAAACATTTATAATTCTTTAATCATCATAGCATTTTTTTATACTTCATTCAATAATTTTGTGATTAATTAGAAGCATTAAGGGCATTGAGTGGCCTTACGTTTCATAAAGTCAGCCCTGGTTGTTGGTTCAGGAATATTTGGCTCATAAGGTGGTACCTTTTCTGAGGAGGAATGGAAGAAGTTGATTAAAATGCAGGAGTTCAGATGAAAAAAATAACATGCATAGATGATCTTTAGTTATGTTATTCTTTACCTTCTGCAGCACTGCTTCCTTTTCTTCCTGAATCGTAAAAAGAAGAAGTTGTAACATCAGCCCAAGAGTGCACGAGTAGAATTACAATACAGCTACTTGAGATTCTTCTCACTTGGGCTTATATAACAAAGGACTGAAATGTAAAACACTCGGGGTGCTATCGCTGGTTACTTTAAACCTTTTCATCTTTCTGTGAGCTTCTCATTCATCAAAGCTGCTGCCAGAGACACTCATCTGCAGTAAATCACCTGCCGCTCCCAACTTTCTGCAGATCACAGATGTGTACTTGTGTGCAATGTCATCTCCGTACTGATTCATGAAACACCTTCCAAAGCTTAAGTTATCTACATAAATAACACAGAGCCATGAGTCTATTTGTTAAGAACAGACGGTGTTAGTTTCACTTTTATGGCCACACTCACTCATTATTTCAGTAAATTTGCCATGAGTCAATTTCTGTGTAAAAAAAAGCTCTTGTGCTGTTTCAGGAGTAGAAGTTTGTCCAAGGAGTGGGAGCCGTTAAACAGGATTTCAAGCCTTGCTCATTGATATTCATGATATGCAAATTTATTGCATTTCCATCAATTCCTTCCTCAGCTGCTCTCTCTTGGGTAAAGAATGGAATAAACTCAAGCAACACAGGTCAGAGCATGTTCCACCAAGAGTTGCTAATGCTAATGGTTAGCTTCTCTGCTAGCTGAGTTGCAGTTGCAAGCTAAGGTGCGAGGCCATGTATACAAATTTTCTTTGTGACATAGATGATACTGACCCAATTTTCTGACCCAATCTTTTTCCAGTCTATTTCCTTTTGGCAGCTATTGCAGGAAATATGGGTTTAACAAAATTTTTACATTCAGCCTGCATGATGTGACACCCAGTGAACCCTAACCCTTTATATTTTTTGTAAGTTGAGGTACCCAAGCACATCTGAAGGTATATTTGGCATGTGGTTGGTGAAGCACATTTAGGCAAAAAAAAAAAAAAAAAAAAAACCTAAACCCAACACATCCACACTATCAGCTCATCCAAGCAGCTACAGCTACTATAGCGAATCTGCCAACATGCTAGGTTTTGAACGCAAACGGACCGAAACACCCCCACCCGGTATCTTCCCCGAGACGCTTCTGCTGGAACCGGAAACTATCGAGGCTGGATGAAACGAGATAATGCTAAACACCAGTTGCCATTTTCTACTTCCAGAAGTCTTTTGATTTCAATTGCTGTTTTTCTTTTTGGGACTTTGTTAGTTTGTTCTAAAGTTGAAGTGGTAGCAACCGACTGTTTCTCCTTCTCTGATATTATTGAGCAGAGAACTCCTCACACCAGTGGTGTTCTGTTGCTAAATATGTGAGTGTGTGATGAATGGAGGACTCAGAAAAGTGTGGCAGTTCAACTAGACCAGTGGTCCTCAATAGACAGCCCGCAGGCCAGCCCCGCGGGCCCCCTCTTTGTGGCCCCCAAACCCTGCGCGCAGCCCTCCACCCCCCATGTTTCAAGGGGTCTATAGAAGCTTTTATACAGTGCAAGGGGAATGATTTAGGCATACAGTCCCTGGGCTGATCATGAACTCTTCCTTGTTCAAGTAAGACTTTACCAACGGATGGCCATTAGTGTCAAAAATCCTTGGGAGTGCAACCTCCAGCAAAATAACAAGAACATCATATTACCTTTCATCACTTGCAATGAGTGAAGAGGTAAATATGTAAAAGAACAACGTTTATGAATGCTGAAAGTTTTGTAACCATTTGTTACAAATCAGTAAATGCATTCTGTCCTCACGGGCTTCCATAGAAGGAAACATGGCATCCAATATGGCGTCGCCTAGAGACTTAGGCTCAATCCCCATACTCGCACTTGCACCCTTGTGCCCTTCAATTGTGCGTTCCTAGCCAGGGGTGCAAGTGAGAAGGGTGTCCTGATTCTCAAGTTGCAAATTTGACCACGCCCCCATTGCACCCTTAATCTGCACTTCACCCAAGTCCACAGCGATGTAGACCTCGGGCAAGGGTATCACTCACAAGTCATTGCTGCAGGAGAAAAGAGTCAAGTTCCTTTTTCTGAAAATATGTATTTTCCAGTAAAAGTAGTTAATTTTAGGACGATTAGTTGATGCTCCAAAACGTTTAGACAAAGCAGCAATACATGTAAATTTATTTCAAATAACTGTTTGGCTGTTTGTTTAAAAGTTGTTAATAAAGGTTTTTGAAAGAAGTATCACAGTGACCAGCATCCCGGCATGGTTGAAGCGAACACTTCAGGTAATTTTGGGTAAATTCAGGTAAATTCAGTAAGCGATATCCAACTCAAGACCAGTTGGATGACAGACTATGCCAGATTTGTGTCAGATCCCTTGTGGATGGCTGTTTATACTCAGGGGGATCAGCAGGACAGCCTCGTGGAGATCAACAGATACTCTATGGGATTGATGAGTTGACTTCCCAGCTATAGAGACATAGAGGACACAGAACAGACTGCGAGCGATGCGAGGCAGGAAAATATTCAAGGGCACCAGGCCATAAAAATCAAAAATAAAAAAGTGATAACATTTATGCAAAGCTATTTCTCGGAAGACGTTTGAGGTAGCAGCTTCACAAGGTCCGAGATGAATAATGTTTCTGTGATGCGTGTTTTGATTTAGATCCACACCGGTGCCGATCTGTTTGAGCACATGTTCAAAAGAATTAACAGCTCAGCACAGTCCAGCTGAAAGGTCAGCGGTGAATCTCCAGATGATTCATGGGAGCTGTTTGTGTTGGACAGCCATGAAGTAGACTTTCCTCTCCCAGATTCCCATCTCAGTTGGACAGAGTGACATTATCTGCACAGATCAGGTTCAAAACATCTCACAGAGACAGCAAGATCAGAGGATAGTGAGATTAGGAAAATGAGGGAGGTGTAGCCAAGACCCATCCCTGTGGTTCCTGTCAAGTGTCATGATCTCCTGGCTGGGAGCCAGTTGTGATGGGACAGCTATAAACTGCACGGAGGATGGATGAAGGATTCTTGGAAAAGATTTGTATGATTATCATATTAAACCTTTTAAGGAGTTAATACAAGCAGAGGGAATCCCGTTGGCTTCAACAGGAAGCATCCAAATTGAATTTTCCAGTCATGTTCAGAGAGTTTTTATGCTTCACTAATCAGATGGTCTTATTGGTTTATTTGATTTGCCACATTTCTTGTACAGCCATTTAACAAAGTAAACTTCTGACGCAATAAATTACTTGATATTTCAAAATGTGACGAGCATCCTGTGTTACAAAACGTCTCAATCAAGCAGCCATAAATAACCCCAATATGAGCTTTTGCATTTTGGTACTAGGATTACTGTGCAGCATTTCACACTTAATTACGGTGGCGGCCAGTGGAGGGTTTAGTAACCACTGGTAATGATGGTGGCTTGGGTTACGGTAGCTGTTATGCATGGATTAAAGGATATCCTAAAACAACAATCGGGAGTCAAAAGACCATCAAATAAAAATTCTACCTGTTAGAGGACGGGTATGAGTGCTGAGACAGGTGTGTGTGTGTGGTTAGTAGTGGTGGGGGTGGGGTTGGGAACATGAGACCAGATAAAAATATGAGCTCTGAAACCTGGGCTGTGACACTGGAACCATCACTGGCAGGATAGATTTTTGTTTTGTTGACATGATTAATAGACCAGAGGACACTGGCAGAATCCAACGTGAGGATGGATGTTTGGCTCATGGCTGAGCAGCAGGGATGGTCAGCAAATGGACATTTAATATCAAATGCACACTATTGGAAACATGTAATAAACTGGGTATAAAACACGTTGACAAGCAATAAATCACAGCACATAGCTCTGAAATTATGGCTAAAACATAATGAACAAAAGATGTGATGTGTGTCGATGTGTTAATGAAACGATCCGCTGCAAAAAGGTTGAGTAGAATAAACGTTTAGGTGATATGCAATCTTCTGAAGTCAAGTCAAGAGATGCAGCAAATGCAGAAATTATAGATGTAATCAATGAGCACAGGATATATGAATGTTAAAATCGTGTTTTTGGTGGAAACTGCACCATGTTGCTGTGTGAACGAGCCTAATCTGATGCAGCAACACCCCTGATTTCTGATGGGTTAATGGGCTTCACAGGTGGATAAGCTTCCTTACCTGCTTTCTTGGGAACCGGCATGGTTCTCTCGGTGCTCCTGGTGTTGTTTGGCATCAAAGGGAAGAGTTGTGGTGAAAGTGCACTGTGGTTAATCGGAGGGTCACTTTTATGAACTTCCAAATGAGTGGGGAGGGGGATAAAGGATGGGGTAGGAGGGAACACGTACGGGTTCTGGTCGGATCGGGTTGAACAGACACCCAAAAGGATGGTCCTGTTACATGAAACTTATGAGCCTTTCTACTTGGAATCAAACTGGAGGAGAAAGGTAAGCACTGAGTATATCCCAACTACGCACACATATTCACATACCAAGCACGTGCACCAGGACACTCCCCAGATGATGTGAAATGACGACAGAATTTTGAGTTTGAACAAACCAAACTGCAGGCTTGTGCTCTTTACGGCTCTCCGAACTTGGAATGAATAGGTGCTAACTCTTAAAGCAATGATGACACAAGCTGTTGGCCCGGATTCATCGTCTGTGTGGAGAGTCTGAGGCGTCAGTATGTGAGACAGAAGCCAGTTTCTCACCATGGAGCTGTCATCAATCTGAGATCCCATCAGTCAGTAGCATGCAGGCATGTTCGTGTAAGAGACTGAGGGTAATGTGTACCAAACTGCTCATAGCATAAACATATTTTTAGTATGAACACATTAAATTCAGTTTTAAATGTAGTTATCTGTATGAAACATTTCTTAGACATTATAATGAATGTATATCTTGCTAAAAAGCGTGACGTTCTTTATTCTTCCTCAAAGTACTCTTTGAACTTTGGCTGCTTGGTAACATGAACACGAAAAGCATGAAGTGTGTCAAAAACCAGGTCTTTAAATTTAAGAGAATAAAAGCCCACCCAAATCCCAAAGAGAAATTTTCAGCTGAACATCTATTCTATGACAGATTTTCAGCTTATGTCTCTAACAAGCACCTTGGTGCTAAAATACAAGTTTGCAAATCTTGTTTTTTAGCACCTAAAGATCATTTTTAAGGTGCAATATGTAAGAATGACGTTCAATGGTCAAATCTGGGTACAGCAGTACATTTTTATAAACAAATAGATACTTTGTCACCCCTGTTCTGTGGGTTTTGTGGCTGTTGCCCATTTTGGATCATCACCAGAAGAAGACAGGTGCCACCGGGCCCTCCGACCACCACCAGCAGGCAAGGTGGGTTAAGTGCCTTGCCCAAGAACACAACGACAGCATTCTCTGGTCAGAGCCAGGATCAAACCTGCAACAGGCATGGTTTCATTGTAACCTCGGTTATTAGACATTAGACTGTTTTGTGATGATTTCACCGTATTCTTACACATTGCTCCTTTAACTTGGTTCTTGTCTGATGTGTGTCAACACAAAACAAGCTCATGTATTTTTCTTCCTGAGAGATTGCAATTAAATGAAGTAGACTGAAAAAGAGATAAAAACAAAGTCAGGACTAAAAGGGAAAGACTGACTGAAAGGAACGGATTAACACTTTTGTTAGATGTTTGGATTTGCCATCTGCAAAAGTGAAAAGGTTGTGATAAAATCAAACTTTAGGTAGTTTTTTGAAATCCAAAAGTCATTTAAAAATGAATAATTCATGTTCTGAACTGAAACTGTGTCCAGCTACACACAGCATATTTAACTGTCATCACTTAAAAAATGCCCTCAGAACTAAAAATGCTAATCTGATGCAAAACCCATCTTTATTACATGAGTAAGTTCGTTTTTGGTTTCAGGATAAAATGTGACTTTTTTTCTCAGCTCAACTGATTCTTACGGAAATAAGTGGCTGTCATGAGAAAGCGCCTGACTGTTGTCAGAGGGAGGATTTTAATAAAGCGTGAGCACCTAACTTGCACCAGTTTACCAGACTCCCTCTGTGTGAGACATGAAAACAAATGTCAACACCTGCCTCCTGCTGCTGTCGCTGACCATACTGTACCATGATGACCTCTGGATGTGTTTAGGGGCTGCTATATTATTCACTCAGCGACTACTGTGTAATATTGCAGTGACCATTACCACTGAGCCTGGCTGGTAAAAGCCCTATCAGGCTAAAGATACGGCACAGCTGGACTTGGGGGGGGGGGGGGGGGGGGGGGGGGGGGGACACTGTGAAAGCCTGCTGGGAGGCTTTTCAGATCTGTCAGGATGATGTCATGTTATAGTTTACTTTTCCTTCACTGGTTGATTTTGGCAGCTGCTTGTTTTGTTCTTCACCACATTAGTTTAGCTCTCAGTAGGAAGTTGGATCGTCCTAGAGAATTTGGAGGCTAAATTCAGAGTTGAAGTCATTTGGTGGCAGGTCAGACTTATTACTTCATCAACAATAAATATGGATGGCTCCAGGTAGTCACTGTGTTGTTTGGTGACATGGTGTGTACCACACTCAACATGGACCAGAGACAGCAATGGAAGTAGCTGTCTCAGTAGATTAGAAAGGAAATGGTAGACAGGCATGCTAAAGGCTATAAAACCACCCCCAAGCAGCCAGATGTGATGGGTTGAAAGACCAATTTCAAATGATAAAGTCCAGCATTCAACACCAAGTCTATTTACTAGTCCCCCCCCCCCCCCCCGAAAAAAAAACAAGTTATACATCTCTGCATTTAACAGAAACAATAAGCATGTGGGCTCATCGCTCATGACCCCCAACTATCATGGGCCCCAACTGGACATATTTGCAAGGCTGTCAGCATGGTGGTGGAGGGCTGCTGATCTGTGCACCCTGCAATCACTGAGTCAGCCATTGTTAAGTATTTCAGTCAGCATGGTGGTGGAGGGTTGATGATCTGTGCACCCTGCAATCACTGAGTCAGCCATTGTTAATAAGTATTTCAGTGATTGGAAATAACTGTGATCAGTTTATTGTTTAGCTATATAAATACAAATCTGATTTAGCAGATGACGTTAGTCTAATGGCCTCCATCAGCCCAGCTCTCCTTTCTCTCAGCTGTTATCATCTTATCTCACTTGTTTTTCCTCCGGACGGCAGAAGCGATGAGTGAAAACTGTCAGAGCACAACGGGGTGCGTCATTCTGAGAAAAGCCCTTCTGGTCATTAGACGAGACGCTGTTAGAGCTCACCACTGAGCCTCCCAAAATAAAAGGATGTTCCTCACAGTCAGAGTTGTCGACTAAAAACAGCCAGACTCATGACCAACAGGAGGACGAGGAAAGGCGATGTTGACACAGCTATTCAGTTTCTGCGTCATGCTGCGACGAGACTGATCCGATGACCCTGACTCACTCAACATACAGAAATGACTCGTTGAAACCGTAGTCCAGTAGCCGTTTGGATACCGGACTCATTTTATATAATCATTCACACCCAACTACACCGGAGCTTCACTTCACTTATCAGTGGAGTTAAAAGAAAAAGCATGAGCGACATGTTTCCAGCTCTCATTGGATTACAGAATAAACCCGGTGCTGCTTTAAAGAATTTCATTATTTCTTTGTGCAAACCAACTCCAGCAGCCAAATAAATCAGCATACAGCTGTGTCTGCGTAAAAACTAAACACATCTAGTAACCTCCATTAAATAACGACAATTAAAGTAATAAATCCTTTATTTTTATATTAGTAATAAAACTGCAGTCATATGCAGGACACAAACTTTTATACGGTACAGGTTTCAGGTGCACGCGGCAAATATTTATCATTCTTAAATAACATTATGTACAGCAGTTAAACTGTGACAACTGTGTTGCTCAGCAGGAAAACGCTCAGCGCGTTAATCGTCAGGCAGCTGCAGCTCTGCCACTGGCGCCTCCTCCTGATTGGTCCTGGGCACCGGACATCATCAGGAAGAGAACTAGAGGCACGATGTACATCCACTGAGGGAGAAAAAGGAGACACGGGAGAGGAAGTCATTAAAATAAAATGACAGTTTTAAGGAAAAAAATATTAACAATTATCACATTAATTTTCAGAAAGGCTCCAGATTTTAAAACCCAGATTAGGTCAAACGTATTTCTCAACAGAAGGAAAGTAAAAAAAAGTGATGTGAAGGACTTTAAGAAGAGACTTAAGATTTTAGGGCCAAACACCAAACACAAGCTGAATATACTCAAAACAAAAACAGGTTTTATTTTAAGAGGAGCGTCTATTCTCTAGTTATTAGTTGCACTGTGTTTGGTGTTGGACCTGTGAGAGGGCGCCACTAGGGGGTGCGTTTCAGTTAGATAAAAACAAGCAGGGAGGAGAGGGAGGGACGGAAGGAGCTACAAGTAAGAAGACTGTACTTCAGTGGGAATCAGCTCTGCTCTCTGCCGCCCCCTGCTGGGGGCTGTGCCGAATTGCTGACCATGAGGAAGATTGCACCTCCCAGAATCAAATACCACTGGAACACAGCACAGCACTGAGTCAACACACTGTCACTGAGCACAGCAAGGGACACACAACAAGACAGAACAGTCATTAAAATAATGCCTAAAAGACAGGCTGGCGTACAGGTGAAAACCTCCCGGAAATAACGGGAGAATTTTCCTTCTAATGCCATACATGTCAATGGGCAAAGAGAGTTTGAGTCATCCTGTCTCTGTTCTTTTAAAATATTTCAGTAAAGGAGACACCAGAGAGGGATGCACGGCAGATTAGAGCTGGAATCTGAAACCACCACCTAGAAGAAAGCCTCTTTAATCTCAGGTTGAGTTAAAGCCAACTCTGGATTTCAGAACGTGAACGAGAAGACAGACAAGAACAGACGTCTTTTTTTTCTGCTCGATAGGAAGCCAAACAAACTGGACTACAGATGTAAAAAGCATGTGTAAATAGTAATAAAGCTGTTACAGAGACAACAAAACACAGACACTGACGGTACAATGAATTTAAATAAAACATTCTTAACATTTAGCAACAAATACTGTCACAAGCTGCAGATGCAGAAAATCACAAGACATCTCTGACCAGCTAAATAAAAGCTATCACCAACATTTGGGCACATGTTCCCATTCCTTTAGCGGTTTTCTGCATGCACACTTACATATTTAGCGAAAAATGATTTCTGCTCCTGTGGATTCTTCCCCTTCTTCTCTGTTTCTTGTTCCATTCGCTCGAGGAACAGAGAGGTCTCAGGCCTGGACGAAAGGAGCAGCACAGATGAGAATCTACTGGAGGTGGTGAAACCTAACAAAGTTCTTCAAAGCAAAACACGCTAGAGGACTTGACACATCAACAAACAGCCGCAGGCATGAATGAAATGGAAGAGACTCGATGCTGTAAACCTGCAAATATTTAAAGGGTTAAAATCTGATTTAAAAAAAACTTTTAATCTGAGTCAATTGGATGTTATCTTAATTTCATGTTTCAAACATAAGTGGTTGCTGTTTGAGTGGTATGAAATAAAAACTCTGCTAACAACAGATAAGTAACGGCTGCTTGATAGTCTTGATCCCAGATCCGTGTGGTGCTTTCTAACTTTGCTATTGCCGTTTCCAGAAAGCAAAACATGTCTGGAACTGTCACGGAGGGGTAGTTCACTACTACCATCTGAAAAGTTATTTCATCTAGCGGAGAATATGTAATGCACCACAGCAACCGGTCTGGCTGCAAGGTGTATTTGCATGTTAAATACAAACAAAATAAAATCTGACAAGGAATCCAGTGCCGGCTGATCAGAGCATGGTGACCCCAGAATGAAAACCATAAAATTTTTTAAAACTGATCAAAATGAAGAAACTCCACTGACCCGGGAGCATTGACAGGAGCCATGATGCTGAGCGTGGTGTTGAAAACCTCAAGATCAACCTCATCCTCAACCTTGGTGCCTCTGCAGGCACCAGGTATTGTTACTATGGAGATGCCGATGAGGTATCCAGAGACATCTGTGTGGAGTGTGATCACGTCGCTCAGGTGGGACTCAACCATCGCACACTGAAAGTCACAGAGGACAACTTTATACTCTACATCTTAAGTTACACGAGTAACTAAAAAGAGTCATTCTTTATGCTTTTACAAACATTCTGGATTTGTAGCAGATTGAAATTTAACCTGAAAGCACTACTTATTTCTAAACTTTCACCAATAAAATTGATTTTGATCGAGGAGTGAACTACGTACAGCTCTGACAAAAGCTGTGAGGTAACCGTCCACCTGCCACTCCGTCTGTCTGTCCGCTTGCAGAGAAACGCGAGGCACTCGGATTCTGTAGAGACCGTCGACTTCTGCCACTTCCTGAGGAGACCAAACCTAACATTTTACTGCAAAGGTTGTATGGTAATCTCCGTTTCTCACACACCCACACACACACCTCTGTGCAACCTTCACTTTTGATTTATGTTCCACTCCTGTAAATGTGCACGTCTGGACCAGAATTCTGCCAGATACAAGCTAATATCTCAGTGTTGAATGAAGGGGGAAAACACACACACACACGCACACACACACGCACACACAGCTGTCAAGGCTTCCCAATTAGACAAACAACAATAGACACACACATAAAAAGCACTTGGTGAAAAAGCTTTGTAATGGCTGGCTGAACATGTGGACACTCATTTAAAATTTGACTGGTGTGGAATCCAACCTTCACTTTTTGGCCCTGATAATCTTACTTTACCTTCAGCTTCACTCTGTCCTCCTCTGAAAGTGGGTTCTGACTAAGCGCGACACTCGGCTCCCTGCCAGTTTTCAACAGCAAAGTGCCTCGTACCACAAACTTTGCTGTATCATCTGGAAAAAGAAACAACAGAACCGAGTGAACAAAGAGTAAAAAAATTAAGTGCAAGCACTTCAGTCACACTTGTTGAGACATGACCAGTATCTTCCTTAGGGATGCACCGATACTGGTATTGGTATCAGCACCGATACCAATACCAGTATCGGTAAAAGTTAACCGATACCAATGCAGTTGCTTGAAAATGGCTTGACTGTAACTTGTCATTTCTGTTCACCTAATATTTTAGTTTTGTGATGATTTCCATTCATATATTTTACTTTTTATCTACCTCACAGTCTTTTCCTGTTGAAAGCAGAGAAGAAAACAAAATCTGTATTCCAAATCATTGCATTTTTTTGTGTGGTAGACGTATCGGTAATCAGTATCGGCGAGTACTCAGATTCAAGTATTGGTATCGTATCGGTTTGGAAAAAAAGGGGTATTGTTGCATCCCTAATCTTCCTGCAACAGCTTGCAACTTTTTAAGGTCTGGAAGATTTCTACTTTTGTACTACTGCCACATACCAGACACAAAGTAAAAAGGATTTTCTTGCACCTTCTTCCTTTCAAATAAAACAATTTGCGATGCAAAGATCTAATCGGAGTTACATATTCCTCAACCTTTTCCCTGTGGAGGAACAGGTCTCTTTTCTTTGACAATAAGTAGACAGCATGGTGTAAAATCATTTATGTCTTGATTTGGGAACTAGGAACAACACTTCAACTTAGCTCAAATAATCAAGCTGAGAGTACTCATGCACCACAAAAGTTTGATTTTATTAAACTAAAAATGATTCAAGCAATACATAAAACACAAAATGTTTTAACATAAACAACAAAGTATTAAATTATTTTCTAGTTTCTCGGTCTTGAACATTAAAATGTAGCCGATTATCAGCATAAGGGTCACTGTTATGCAGTTTTGAAATCGGTTTTACGAAGGGTCCTTGTGAGTCTGCTTTATAGTAAAAGCCAGTGAGAGTTAGTGGTCTTTTTAATCATCCAATCAAATACAAATAAATAAAGTTTAAAACATGCTTAGTATGAGACAACAACATTTTGTATTTTCCACTGTAGAAATAGAAAATTATAAAGTTATCTGAATTTTTTTCTTAGGCCTCACATTTGTAAAAATCTTAAAGGTGCGGTTCACTTGTTTATTCAACACTTGTGCAGAGGTCTCTAGTGGGAATGAACGCCTTGCAAATCATACTCTGGGGAAACAAAGCTCTTGTGCATCAGTTTCAGGAAGTAGAAGTGTGCCACTGACTGTTTGCTTTGCAATGTGGATGTTTTATCACCACAAATAACTCAAGCCTGGAGGAGTTCTGCAGTTTGGTGGAGTTGCTAATGGTAAATGTTAGCTTCTACTTGTCGAGACGTTCTCTGCCGTTTCCTGGACGCTAAACCAACAACAGCCTTTCCTGTCGTGAATCAAAATGGGTGAGTCCATAAATGTTAAGTGAAAATGTGACGCAGATCTGTCAGGCTTTTCTAATCCTAGAGTTTCACCGTCTATTTTCTATCAGAAGCTACTGCAGCAGTGTAGGAGACTATTTTCATGTTCAGCCTGCATGAAAAACTCAGAGTGACTGATTATAGTCAGAATATATATAAAAAGTTTAAGTTACTATTTGAATCAACAGCCTGTGCCTGGGGATCAAAATTCTCTGATTAGAATGGCAAATGAGAGACAGAACAACAAAACAAACAAAAACAATAAAAATGACTTGTTAGCTATCTGTACTTTTATACTTAGTACAGTCGTTGAAATGAAGTAATCAAACTACACGTGTGTGTGTGTGTGTGTGGGGGGGGGGGGCACTCTATTATTAAAACTACGATGGGGCGACAGTGGCACAGGAGTTATCGGAAGGTTGCGGTCGTTGTGTCCTTGGGCAAGACACTTAACCCACGTTGCCTGCTGGTGGTGGTCGGAGGGACCGGTGGCGCCTGTGCTCGGCAGCCTCGCCTGTCAGTGCGCCCCAAGGCAGCTGTGGCTACATCGTAGCTGATCCCCACCAGTGTGTGAATGTGTGTGTGAATGACTGATTGTGTTGTAATGCACCTTGGGGGGTACCAGGACTCTAGAAGGCGCTATATCAAATACAGACCATTTAAAACAAAATGAAAACTACTGAAAAAGTCAAAGCAACAGAAACTGGTTTTAGATAATATTGTGCTGAAAAAACAGAATTAAAAACAAACAAACAAACAAAAAAAAAAAGAAATGTTTTAAGTGGTCCAGTTTTAAGCAAAAAATGTAATAAGAAAAAAATCATAACTTAACAACAATCAGGGGCGGCGTTAGGCCTGGCAACTTGGAATCAAGCCCCGGATGTTTTATGAAAAACCCCGGATCTAAATCGTGGAAGTAACATGCAGTACCAAAGTCCAACAGAGAGGGAGCAGCTAGCAGTAGTTTGTATACAGCCTGCCTGAGCCTCCACCACTGAAGAAGAAGCCCTTCAGCAGCCGGCTTCTTCTACACTCTCTGTCTGAAACGCATGAGTGAAGATGGACATAAGGACGTTTTTAGACCAAAAGTACGGCGACAGAACCCCAGCTTTGATGAGACTGGTGTTGACTCAGGTTTGTGAGTCTTATTTAAAAATATTTGTTGTACTGCTGGTTTGCCTAAAGTTAGCTTACTATCAGGTAACGTTGTTGGAGAAAGAAAGGGAATATTTACTATCATCTCACACTAAACACTAACAGGAACTATACTCTGCCCTGAATGTGCTTAATATGTAGCTTCAGATTAAAAATTATGTGGTACAAGACAAATATATATGATGTTGACTAGTGCGTGTCACGTGTGTGTGCGCGCGGATGTTCTTCAGTCCTAAATCCGCCCCTGACAACAATCATTATAATTTAGCATCAGGGCTGCACAATTTATCGAAAAATTATAGTCATCGCGATAACAGGACATGCGATAGGCCCATCGTAAAGCACGTCAAAAACGGCGATAAATGTTTGGTTCAAACATTTCCATCCGTGTCATACATCAACTTTTTGTAAACCAGCTCTGTTTTTTACGCGGAAGTGTTATTTGACCAATCAAATGTAGCCCTTCTAATATGCGGCCAATCAGATGGGTCCGTTCACGTAATACGCCCGCCCCCTACGAGCTGCCCCGCGCTGCTCGGCTGTCTCCATCCGAAGGTTGAGATGTTTGCCAGCCTTACATAACCGCTCTTGTTTTCGGCACCACCACTTCCTCCGCGCGCCGACACCGGAGCATCGGAGACGGTGCTGCCGAGCGGAGCTCCCTGGGCTGCGCTTACTTTGGGCCGCCGTGCCGCCGCCCGGTTCACCCGCTCCAGCACAGACTGTATCCCCAAAATTCCACTATCTCCGCTCCGCCCCCGCTTTCCGCTGCCGCTCGCTTCCCTTATTCGTCATGCTGGCTCAGATTAACGAACACACTTTGTGCTGAGGTTTCTGGCTCCGGTTAGCTTCCAGCTAAAAGGCTACAGCAGCACTCTTCTCCTATGGGCCATCCCCATCTGTACCGGGTCGGCCCGGGCCGGGTAGCCCCAGTCGGCCCCAGTCGGCCCCAGCCTGGCCCGGTTGATTCCACACATCCTTGCCTTAAGACCATGTGGACTGATTCTACCCACCAATCAGAGGCTTGCTCTAATGGAAGGTGTGAATTTGCTGTCAGCAGTGGGTGTGTTGGCCCTGGTCGGCCTGAAGCAGACCCCCTCGAGAAGAGGGCTGAGAATGAGCCTTGGTTGGCCCGGAAAAATACCAGGCCACCCAGATAAACAACCTACGCTACCCGGCCCGGGCCGACCCGGTACAGATGGGAATGGCCCACTAGTCCCACCCTGAGCTGCTAAAGAGGGCCTGGAAAAGTTCCCCCACACATCAAAGTGATTTTTCATTTATGAGCTTTTATAACCTTGTTAATCAGGATAGTTGATTTGCTGCTGCACATAAACTCAGTCAGAAGCTCTGCTAGCCGGTTATCTTAAGAGGAGCTAGTTCAATTTGTTAGCTTGTTATCAGATTCATAGTTTCATCATCTGAGCAGCTTTTTAAGATCTAGGTAAACTTGTTCAATTTGGGGTTAAAAACAAACGTTTTCACATATTTTCCATGTAGTTTTTTTGCCAGTTCCTCTTCTGAAAGGTAGAAAATTGTTTTTCTCTTTCCCTCAGAAAATCTTAATATTCTCCTAGTTTAGCCCAGCACAGATCACTTCCCAATTACAGCAACAGCCTTATATCATAACCACATAAGTAGAGAAAATGCTCAGTAGCAATGAGAGAATTTGCTGTTGCATGTAAGTGATGTTAACTATTGTTTAACATTTAAACTTATTTTCAGATATTTTTATTTATTCAGAAAACCCTGGTAAGGGATGTTTTTCTGTATTTGGAGCATCAGAAAAAGTTTTATGGTGGTGGTGATGTTTTAAAGTCACTGAGAAACTGCATGCATGCAGGTTGTTGTTTTGCTGCTAATACAGTAGCAGGTGCAGCTGCACATTTTTGCAATACAATATTATGTTGTAATGGAATTCATGCATTAGTTTTGTTTTCTTTGAACCCAGAGCAGACGTCACACGCCAGACGACATCAACACTGCATACTTCAGTATTTGTTCATTTATCGTGAGTAATATCGATATCGCAATATTAAGCACTGTTATCGAATATCGTAGGTTTTCCTAATATCGTGCAGCCCTATTTAGCATTTGTATTCAGTATAAATAATGTGGGATTAAACCATACCCATCAAACTGTCAGAACAATTATAATAACTTCCCTTCTGTGTAACCTGGCAAACGAACAGATCCATGAAATAAAATTATCTAAGGAGAACTTTTAATGGGGTCAGTGCTAACCTATGGTGTTAAAGCTACAAGCTAGCATATACAACAACTCACATAATGCAACAATAAACTAGCATTTCTCACCGAGTTCAAATGAGTGTTCCAGAGGCACAGATAAACCACTAAAATCGGTCTCCAACGCATCACCGACCTAGAAAAAAAAATTAACATTAGTCTCTGGCGAGTCAGTTATGGCTACTGCTAACACTTTAGCACAGATAAGACGAAAAACACCCGCTTCTTTTATTTTAAAACAGGATGAGAACTAGTATTCCCCTCTTACCCTTCTTTCGTTATTACAGCACACGAAATTAATGAATCCGAAGAACAAAAAAGAGAAAAGAACAGCTACTCTAAATGACAGATCACGAGCCATTTTGGAGAAGCGGACACCGGAAGACGGCAAGATGTGTTTCAACGCTCATCCGGAAATTTTCAAAATAAAATCATTATGACCTTCTCATTCAATGTTTCTGTCTGTAAAATTAATGTATCATAAATTTATTAATATACAATTAAAATACTCGATAAACATTTAACATTTTGTCAGAAAGATTATATATATATTTTATCCATACCACTGAGTTTTGACCACAGAGTTTTATTTCTGTCATTTATATGACTGAAGAAGCTGGTAACACGAAACGTCCCATTTGTAGCATGCGCATTCATTTTCTGATCGTCATGTGTTCCTGTTTAAACCCCCTTGCAATGGCGCATGCAGGACCAGCAGAGGTCACTAACAAATCAGAAAAGACCCCGTCACCTCTCTCTCACCCCCACACTGTTCCATGAGCCGTTTTTACAAGTAGAACTAAATATTTATGTCCAGAGACGAGAGATAGAGAGAGAGAGAGAGAGAGAGAGAGAGAGAGAGAGAGAGAGAGAGAGAGAGAGAGAGAGAGAGAGAGAGAGAGAGAGAGAGAGAGAGAGATCTAAATTTCTTTAGTCAGCATTCAGAACACTAGTTCAGCTGTTTCAACTGCACAACTCTCAGAAAACCTTAACAGGTATTTATATAAACCCTGAACTAGCGATTAGATGGTGTTAAGCTGCAATGAACAGCTGTTCACACCAGTCTCAAGTGACTATTTGTGATCAGTGTTATTACTCTGCTAGAAAGTCAAATTTTCAATTTATGGGTAACAGTTCCTGTTTATTTCCTGGAGTCTAGATTAGCATCGGATATTTGAAGCTCCGTGTCTGCCTCACTAATCCCACTCATGTTGAACATATTGTGGTCATAACTGTTGTTCCAAACAGGTCCTGGGTTTTCTCATTAAAGAGCAAACAAGCAGAATGTTGGGACTCTGCAGAATCACGTTGTTCATGGCTAATCTCTCTTAAGGAAGAATCATGATTTGTGAAAAGTGTAATTCAGTATTTGGTTAATGGAGTGCTTCATAGGATTTCTAGGATCAGTCACATTGACATGTAGGGCTGCTAAAACATTTTCATCTTAGAGCGAACTATTTTAAATGTATAATTAAATACATTTATATAATCTGTAGTTCAGTTTGCTACTTTTATTCCAATGGCTTCTGCTCTGGTTTATTAGCAGCATTCCAGGTTAAATGAGTACTGAATACAATATGTCGCACCTCCAAGATGCAGTTTGTGGATTATTGTTCCTCTGCTGGCCTGCAGGGATCCGGTTCTAGGTCTAGCTGTTATTTAACAGGGTCTGGAAGAGGCAAAATGCTGCAAAAGAGTTTGGGTCAGCCACAGGGCAAAATTACAGAAGCATCCCTGATGAGGGGTTGATGCCAGAGGTGCTCCAAACTTCAAAGCATCAAACCAGAGAGAAGAGGAATCATCTGCAGCTCTCTGGTGAATGTGATTGATGTGAATTATTTCTCAATGCTTATTCTTGGCTGAAGAGTTCTGCTGACATGGGATAAACTCCGTGTGGATAGAAGTGAATGGCGTCCATCATTTCAAAATCAACATTTTAGTATCAAAGTGCTGAAAAGGAGTTTTGAATCCAGTGATATATATTTTTTTAAGTTTAGAAACTTGGGACGTCAATACTGCTTTTGGCATCTAATCTCTTTTTTTTAAATAAAAAAATGTCGAAATTGCTCTTTTGGAGCTTGACGTGAGTTATGTGAATTTGGTCTTTTGGAATTTGGCGCCTCCCCCTCAAAAACAACCCCCCATAAATGAGAAAGATGTTAAACATTTTCATTAAGATGCTGCTGACGGCGGTATGATCTGTGTTTAAAGGTAGCAGATCTTCGTGTGGAGCATATGGTGACTGAGGCATGCGATTCCCCCGGGCTCTGCCTCTGAAACTGCAGGCCTGTATGGTATATCTGTCTCCTCTTACTGGGACACGCCATTACTCTCTGTCATTGTCCTAAACAATGGTGCCGCCTCACTATTATTAGTCAAATGCAACAGTGTTTGTTTATGTAAAAAATGACACAAGTTTGAAGGAAGATGTCACATCCTGTCATTGAAAGTGGGACCTCATAAAAAATGAGAAGGAAAGCCAATCAAATATTCAAAAGCATGTCACACGTTTTAAATATGTGATGTGGTGTGAAGTCAATCACTGAAAAATACTTTATTTTTAGCTTCTGCATCAAAGATGCTATGATCTTTGTTTATTTGATCTTTTTGACTAGATATAAAAACAAACTACAATAATGTGTCTTGATTAAGGTGGTTTATGTGTAATTTAAGGGAGTACATGCAGCACACAATCCCAAATAACAGAATTTGTTCCTAACATCCTTGAATCCCTTTAATTTGTGTTTATTTATTTATTTATTTTTGCTTCTGTAGGTAATGACGTCACATTGTATAGCACATTGAGTCCATTTTGGCCCACCATAAATTAAAACAATGAGCTGCTGCCTTATCCTTATTTTTTGGCCAATCATCCAACAGAGACCATCAGGCCTCAGAGGAAGAGCCCTTAAAGGGGAAGACTGTGACCTGAGGTGAAGCTTTCATACATAGATAAGTAAAATACTGCTTTATCTGAAAATTAAAACATGTAAATAGATTATAATAGACCTCTAAACCGATTATCCCTCCTGCATTGTTGATCGGGTCAGATGGACTTCTGGTGTATTTTTATTTTTTGTTTTAATATTTTAGGGGGTGCATCACTTTACCCCTGCCAAGAAATGCACTTTAAGCCCTGTTCAATCACCCCCTGTCGTGGTGGGGTCATCTGATAGGACAGTGGAAGGGTTAAAGGAACATTTCCATTTGTTTCGACTCATGTTTATTTTAAATCAGAGGACTACAGGTGCTGGCCAGTAAATTAGAATATCATCAAAAGGTTGAAAATATTTCAGTAATTCCATTCAAAACGTGAAACTTGTACATTATATTCATGCAATGCACACAGACCAATGTATTTCCAATGTTCATTACATTTAAATTTGATATTCATAAGTGACAACTAATGAAAACTCCAAATTTGGTATCTCAAAAAATTAGAATATTCTGAAAAGGCTGAATATAGAAGACACCTGCTGCCACTCTAATCAGCTGATTTACTCAAAACACCTGCAAAGGCCTTTAAAAGGTCCCTCAGTCTTGTTTTGAAGGCACCACAATCATGGGGAAGACTTCTGACTTAACAGCTGTCCAAAAGACAATCATTGACACCTTGCACAAGGAGGGCAAGACACAAAAGGTGATTGCTAAAGAAGCTGGCTGTTCGCAGAGCTCTGTGTCCAAGCACATTAACAGACAGGCGAAGGGACGGAAAAAATGTGGTAGAAAAAAGTGTACAAGCTCTAGGGATAACCGCACCCTGCAGAGAATTGTGACGACAAACCCATTCAAAAATGTGGGGGAGATCCACAAAGAGTGGACTGCAGCTGGAGTCAGCGCTTCAAGAACCACCACGAGGAGACTCATGAAAGACATGGGATTCAGGTGTCGCATTCCGTGTGTCAAGCCACTCTTGAACATGAAACAGCGCAAGAAGCGTCTCGCCTGGGCCAAGGACAAAAAGGACTGGACTGATGCTGAGTGGTCCAAAGTTATGTTTTCTGATGAAAGCAAGTTCTGCATTTCCTTTGGAAATCAAGGACCCAGAGTCTGGAGGAAGAGCGGAGAAGCACAGAATCCACGTTGCATGAGGTCCAGTGTAAAGTTTCCACCGTCAGTGATGGTGTGGGGTGCCATGTCATCTGCCGGTGTTGGCCCACTCTGTTTCCTGAGGTCCAGGGTCAATGCAGCCGTCTACCAGGAGGTTTTAGAGCACTTCATGCTTCCTGCTGCTGACCAACTTTATGGGGATGCAGACTTCACCTTTCAACAGGACTTGGCACCTGCACACAGTGCTAAAACCACCAGCACCTGGTTCAAGGACCATGGTATCCCTGTCCTTGATTGGCCAGCAAACTCGCCTGACCTTAACCCCATAGAAAATCTATGGGGTATTGTGAAGCGGAGGATGCAATACGCTAGACCCAACAATGCAGAGGAGCTGAAGACGACTATCAGAGCAACCTGGGCTCTCATAACACCTGAGCAGTGCCACAGACTGATCGAGTCCATGCCACGCCGCATTACTGCAGTTATTGAGGCAAAAGGAGCCCCGACTAAGTATTGAGTGCTATACATGCACATTCTTTTCATGTTCATTCTTTTCAGTTGGCCAACATTAGAGAAACAAACATTTTTTCATTGGCCTTTAGAATATTCTAATTTTATGAGATACCAGATTTGATGTTTTCATTGGTTGTCACCTATAAATATCAAATTTAAATGTAATGAACATTGGAAATACATTGGTCTGTGTGCATTGCATGAATATAATGTACAAGTTTCACGTTTTGAATGGAATTACTGAAATATTTTCAACCTTTTGATGATATTCTAATTTACTGGCCAGCACCTGTACACTTCAAGAAGTTCGTCTAAAATAAGCATGTTTGTTGTTTACTTAAAGCTGCTATAGCAAATTTAGAAAACACATGTGCACAAATTTTCTTTTCATGTTTCTTAACAATGTTCTGACATAGCATAGCCGTGTATATATTGTGGAGATAAAAAAACAAACAAACAAAAAAAAAACATGATTCTTTCGCATTTGTGTAAAATCCCAGACGAGCCCCCATTATGTCACATCCCCTCTGGCTGTCTAGGAGTGGTTAGGGGAGAACACAGTTCAATAAAAATAATATAAAAAAAGGAACGTAAATGAGGTATGGTGTCTGCATAAGGTGATGATAAATGGAAGGAAAAGGCTCTCTGATGGCGGTTCAAAGGCAGTTCAAAAAGGTTTAATTAACAAAGAGGTGGTAACTTAACAAAAAAATACAAAATGGCAGCCATAGAACCTGGGCTCAATTGGTGATCACAGTCAGCTAAAACGTCTCTGTAGCTCTGCACTGCCTCTCCTGGAGATCACAGCTTGCTTCTGTCACTGCATTAGCCCTAACCCTAACCTTAACCCTACCAA